CTATTCCAGTATGCAGCCTCGTGTTGCAGGGTCACTTCGTCCGTTCAAGGCCATCAACCCCGAAATCTCGATCATGAACGCTCCACCCTCCCTGACTGGTACGAGTTTCGATAGTACACTAAGAAAGAACAGCACAGTATTTTCCGGATTCAAAAATGCGCACTTAGAATTCCGTGCGACCCGTGCAATTTATGCGATGAGTTCAAGCGAGAGTCAATGGCCCACCTGCCACATAGATTTCAAGTCATTGTAGATCTAGAAGGATGTCTCCCAGCAATTACAGTCCAGCAAACCGCGTCTTTTGTGCGTTTTTCTGACTCCGTTAAAACGCTTGATGACGTCAGACCCACTCAAAATACTGTTGTTGTGACTTAGATTATGCGCACTTTGTGCGTGATCCGCGTCTTGCTTCGTAATGGCAAGACTGTGGAAGAGACCAAGGCTTTATAAAGATTGTTCGAAGCCCCCTTAGAAGAACAGAAATCTTAACCCGCGTATTCCGGCTTATTTGAGGCCCTCTCGCGTCGACTATCTACCTTGACGTGCTAGCAAGTCCAGGGATTTGCCGAACCTTGAGAGACCATTCATTTTTCTTGCCTAATTAGATACCATGGGCTCGTCGGAGTCATACCATCAGCCAACGGCGCTTATCGTAATCTCTTCAGTGTCGATAGGCTTAGGTGCCATTGCGGCGGCATGGATCTTACTCGACATCATCTGGCGGCGAGGCTGGCGGTCAATGATGTACATTATGATCCCAGTATATGTCATTAATGCGCTGTATCTGTGGCCGATCACGCTGTGGGTGTATATCAAGTATGGTCGACCGCCACCACCACAGAAGCATGGCGTGACCGGCACGCAGGAAGCGCATCAGCCTCCAACTGCCAATGCCAGTGGAACAGCTGGGGAAGAGACACAACGAGACATGGGTCGGAGGGGTCACAACGACACATCTCCGAATGAGGAGGGTGAAGTCGACAAGACCGACATGGAAAGTGGGATCACTGGAGAGCAAGGAGGGAATGAGGATAATCGGTCGGCGGAAGACCAAGACAATAAGAAAGAGAGTGCAGGAAATAGAGAGCAGGGAGGACATTCTGAGCATCATCACAAGAATTCCGGACGTCCAATGTTCGCGACGGTGACAGTGGGAGTCTGCCATTGCGGCGCAGGCTGCGTGTTGGGGGATATCGTCGGGGAATGGCTCGTCTACGGCACAAAACGCGGCCTTCGGCTCACCTCGTCGACTCTTGTGGGCGGAAATGCTCGTCGACTTCGGTTTCGCCTTTGCTTTTGGCATCATCTTTCAGTATTTTTCTATCGCGCCCATGGCCGGCCAGTATGGTCCCAAGATTATCTACCGAGCACTCAAGGCTGATGCACTTTCGCTGTTATTCTTCGAGGTCGGGTTGTTTGGCTGGATGGCGATTTTTCAGGTTGCGATCTTCAACTGGGAGCTAGAGATGCCTACGGTTACGTATTGGTGGATGATGCAGATTGGTATGTTCCTGGGTCATTGGACAGGTGTACCGATTAATTGGTGGTTGATTAAGACTCGGGTTAAGATGCCTTGTGCATAGATTTCACAAGATCTAACACAGAAATTTTGTCACGGATAAGAGGCTGTAGTCTAGATGCTTATGCTCATTATTCTTAACCTCTAGAAGTTTTCAATTGCGGCTTCACCTCTGCAGACACACTCAATTATTTGGGCCCCCGTATTTCTTAGGTGATCTGGATGGACTACACTCAATATGCTTAAGCGTCGTGTATAATACTGACCAATATAATTGACCTTAGATCGACCAAAAACGCCTGTTTACATAACAAGACAATAACGTTTGCCCTGAAGCTGAAATCTCAAGAGCGGCACTGAATTATCCTACTGACTAATCAGAAGAGAGTAGTTTGACGACAGAGAAGGCTCAGTACCTAAGGAAGTGTCGGACAATTTCGTTCATGCATCCAACAAGAAACACGGCTCGAATAATCATGAGAGTAAGGTCATCCGAACTCATACAATACCAATATCCTTCCACTGCAGTGAAGAATCCTGAGCCAAGAGTTCTCCGCGCATAACACCATGAACGTAAGTCTCACCCAGCAAGTGATAATGGGCCTTGTCCACGTCCGTCGCGGGACGTAGCACGAATGGAACCCGAGCACCACGCAATATCCAAACTCGGTCACCGGGCCGCATCGATAGCGGTCCCAGTCCAAGGTCTCCCTCAACGGTTCGATACAAACATCGACAACTTGTCATTTCTTGTACGTCTCGTATGAACCGATCGTTCTGGGGTATAATTGCCAATATTCGTCGCTCGCTATCGCTCACATTTTCGATTCCTATGTCATGATGCTTAATCAGATCCTTGATCTGATGTGATGTGCATATCGAACCACTCTTGTCGTTCGACGCGAGATCGTCGAGAAGATGGAGTTTCACTTCATAATGCATTTCAGGTATCTGGCGAGCGATGTCTGCTAGCTTTTCTCTCAAAAGCATGTATTGTATGAATCTCGAGAAGTCCTCACTGATAGAATCGCTTGCTCTGTCAGCAGATTTGTTGTAACTGTCATGATCCCCAATCAGAACTCGCCATAAGACTTCGGTTGGGGGCTGACCAGTGCGGGTGGGCAGCGGGAGCTTTCGAACGAGGTGGAGATACTCAGAGAACTTTCCAGATGCCATCTCTGCACCCGTCAAGGACACTTCTTCAACCGTACCGACTTCGTGAGCACTAAGCTGAAGTGCATCGTCCCGGAAGCGAATGACACCTTCTTTCGTGGTATAGGTTGGTGTAACATTATAATATAGATATTCTGTGAGAGGCCTGCCTGCTGCCTCTACTCCTGCAAATCCAATCATCCAGGATGGACGGTCAACCATTGGTGACCATGACCGTCCGAGTGACAAAAAGGTAAGTCCTCCGTGAGTGTTCATCAGAATGTCTTTTGCAGCGTCCTTCAAGACCAGAAGAGGCGGCCGATTATAGTCAGGGCTCACCGTGACCTGTTCAATGCCCCTGACCTCGCAAAAATGATTCACCATGCCAAGTAACCTCAAAAGTTTATCACGCTCATCGGAGGCTTCTCGTTTCCGAAGAATTCTCAAAAGTAGCAACAGGAAATTGTACCCGTTCAGGTTTTCAGGTGCCTGCTCTAACTGAGTCATCAGAAGTGTAACCCATTCAGGGGGCACGTCTGGTTTTAGAAAGCTGGCGATCAAGAAGAGAGAGCTAGCTTCCTCGCCTATCATTCCTGGCTGGATAGAGACGTCCTGGACTCGATTCTGTAGCAGTTCCTGAACAACCTTGCAGAGCCCGGTGATTGACATAAAGATAGAAACCGAGATCAAGTCATTCCAAACAACGCAAGTTCTGCCGTATTGCAACCTGGTATCGTCGGGTTTCCTGGCCAGAGCAATTTCCTGCGCGCACCAGAGGCGGTGAAACCACTCCCGATTGAGGAATAGACCTAGTGCAATCCAACCACGTGTGCCCCAAATCGGCAGCCCATATTCGAATAGGAGGTCAGTGTTGTCGAGATCATCAACCGTCCGAAAATTAGGTAGTTTGGCCCAATTGTCCTTCATGGGATATTGGTTCCAAGCATCGGCAAGATGAGTGATCATTCGTGCAATCCCGGGTCCGTCTCCTCGCTCATCCTTTCCCAACCACACGACCACGCGGTCGGCTTGGTTGTATATCGTGCCCATCATACTCACTTGTTTACCTTTCTCATCATAATCCTTCTGATTGATGCATATCGCATCGATCCATAGAGGATAATCTTCAACATCCAACAGCGATCGGAAAAAGATAAGAGCATCGTGAAGGTTTTCTGTCACTTGAAAAGGCTTCGAGTCCACCTAGATCGTGTGGTATCGCGCAGAATTCGTTTCGTAGGCTTCAGCCCGCTTCTCTGGAAGTCCCCAAGTATATGATACCGCGATATAATCAGGTGGCTTAGCCAGCTCAACCTCTTTCAACGAGCATCGAATGACATTGTCTTGCTCGCTGTCAGGTCGCTTCAAATATAACAATCGAATGCTTGTATCGGACGGCAGAGAATTGTGTACATAATCTGCTGACACTCCGCCCAGCTGGAACAGGCACGCGATGTCATTCACCTTCGGACAAGAAATTGTCGAAACCGCGCCGACTCCCACAAGAAGACCGAGCACAACCATACCCCGCCCTCGAGGAGAAGTTGCTCTCCAGCTGTTCACTTTAAGAAAATATCTTCCATCAAGGCACGGCCATTTCCTTGAGAATAGCCGACGGTTTCTCAACAACGACAAAACAGCGATTCTGAAGCGCATCTCCTCACCAGCGCGCAGGAGTTGAAGGGTACTGTTATCTCGGCGGAGGTAAAGAGGGTACCAAATAGGTAGGAGCCAGGTTGGGCCGTTCGCTACTGGTGATGATTCAAGTCGAGCCAAGGTCGAGGCAGGTTGCAGCATGTTCGTCAGGCTGAATGGCACATTTGGAAAACGAGGCTATCTTCTTAGCAGTCTAGCAGCCTGCATTGGCACGTGGCCATATCGATTTTTCGTGGCTCATTAACCCGCCGTAGATATCCATGCGGTGAAGTAAAGGTGAGCAAGGTGTAATTTTTATTTATAGATACCTTTTTGGAGGGACTTGTTGCCAGTATTCGCGGTCCCAGCCGCTGATCTCGGGATCAGAGCGGAGATCGAGGCTCCTGCTTCAGGGATGATTACTTTAACGCGCAGCGAGGAAACGAACAGCAGGCTAGGAGAAAGGGACAATGTGGTCAAACTCGAAGATCTGAAGGTCGGACAGGAGTTGGACTTTCAAAGACGGGAGGACGAGAACAGCATAGTGCTCCATCTTGGAAGAGGACAGAGTAAAATCTGTTCTCTTTCTCTTCGATGGGCATAAGACCCTGGCGTGAAGGGCCAGGAAGGACGGCCGGTAGAGTAAGAAAACTGCGACACTACAGTATAGGACAGTATAGTATCTAGACCTCATCCCAGGTAGTCTACGTTCGAGGCTCCTACGGCACGCGCCCACGAAGTTCCTAGGGCCGCAAAACTCCCCCTTATTGTGATTGCAGGAAGAACCATATAAGTCCATGGCCGCACCTATTAGATGCTGTAGTATGTGGCCAGCTCAGTTAGCGTACTGGGGAAAAGTAGGGACCGATGGAATTGGTGGCCACCGAACACTGCGAGTTGCGAAGATCCAGTCGATTGAAATGCCTAAATGATTATCTGCTGCGCATATACAGCCAGGGTACGAGTATTATATATTTAGTCGGAATATTCTATCGATGTGGACCTATAGCTTCGTTCAACTACGCGAGCCACGAGCCTTTACGACGCGGCAAAGATATTCGGACATACCTAGGCACTATGTCCCCCGCACTCTAGGTTTGAGCCAAAGGCGTGACCTTTCCAGACTGGCAGAAATAATGGCTTCCACAGTGAGGCTGAAGGGCCCTAAGCATAATCCTATAACTCGACAGCAAGACGCGTCAAGCTTCCTAGAGGGTATAGAGTCGTCGACCGCGACTCTCGACATTGATGGCAGAACGCTTACCACGATCTTCTACCTCCTTTTACGCCCCCCCCCGAAGCTCAACCGTCTTGAGAATCGCTTAGGTTCTGGGACGGGTGCGCCCGCCACTCTCTATCGCCCTATGATCACAACTGTATCCAACACTCCAGCCAACCCATTTGTATGCAGCCATAGCAGCTGTGTCGACAAGCACACGAGGAGACGAAGAAGCTTCAGGCGACGGCCACAGCACCGATTTTTGGTGGGAAGGCAGTTTTACACTGGGAAAGGTGCATGAAAGCCACGGTCACTGAAATGGCGAATTGGCTGTACTCTCCAACATTCTCCAGCTTCACTTTCGATGTGAAAATCACACACGCAGAAGCAATAGATCGTGGTTGGCGACTTGTCGGTGCCTACCGCCTCGCCAGGGAAACTGACCTAGAGGAATGGGCAAACCATCTCACTGACGCTTGCTTGGAGATGGTGGATCAAGACCTGCTGTGGCTGGAATATTTACAACGATTGAACGCACACGAAGCACCCGACACTGGGTTGGTTGGACTCTTGTTCATGGGGCTTGCGCGGGCGATCCGTCGTCACGGCTGGGATGAGTACATCAACAGCATCCACGTGAGCTTCCTGCAGGCGCTTCGCGAAAATAGTGAGTTTGCTGCACGCTTGATGAAGCGAGTACTGGAGTCGGAGGGGGTCAGCGAGAGGAGTCTGAAGAAAAAGAGCTGCAAATGGCATATCCATAACACTACACCTCCTTGCAAAGCAACTAAGGCTTGCCACTTTGGCGGTCTAGAATTGGCGCGTTGCAGTGGATGAGAGGCGTTGAACAGCCACCGACATTGGCCAAGCGCATGGCGATCTGGAGAGTGACGATAAGTAAGTCTCTCTTAGATGTCATCGGTAGACTTACCAGAGCCAGCAATTTCCCGTTGACGGATATCGATGACGAGTCAATCATGTCGAGCACCCTTCTAGGGGAATATATGACTTTGTACCATGCAAGCTTCACTGCTCGGCATTGGGTTTCACCATCTACGATTCTGAAACTTGATATCTTTTCAGAGACAGGTCTATGTCAGAGGATAGTTGGAACTGTATTCAGCGCCATGAGAAAAATCATCCTATATCGACAACATCGCGTACGTTGCACATTCCATCACATTGACGGACTCGACAACAGCCTGACGGTATCTCGAAGTTTCTGGTCCAAGAGCTACGAAGACAGGTAACAGTTGCCGCAAGGCGTGGTTGTCATCGACATTCGATATGATGTCTTCCTCCACAATCTTCAACGTCTTCGCGAAAGCTTCTAAAGATTGAGCGAGGTTAACCGCGGCCCGCGTATATGATTTGAGGGATATTCGAAGTTCTAGCTTGCAACAAGTTAGTCTTGGACAGGAAAAGCCCGTTCGAATTGGTTGCATGCAATGCTTGCACTTCGGTATTTCTCTCCGGCCATTTAGATAGAAGGCAAATTGAAGTCCTGTTGTCTGGAAGAGATGCTTAGCGAAATCATGGCAGTAGTAACAGACTGGTCGAGGATAGATGTAAATGTCGATGGATTTATCAACTGCTGTCGGTCCTCGGTAGTGCTTGTCGTAGATATATGCCATCAGCTGTGTTTCTGCATGGCAAGCTTTGGACCTCCCAGGCCTGTAAGCGATGTCCCGCAGGTCACGACAATCCTTCCAATGGGCAGGGAAGGTGTAGTTGGTCTCTTCCGCAACCTGGAGCGCTAGAAGCGTCGTCCCTTTTCGATCGAGTATATCATAGTTGTACCAGGTATTCGAGCCAGTCCATCCACTACATGTTTTATTGCGAACGGGACTCTTGGAGGCAGTACAAGCCACACTTTTCAAGTCCTTCTTTGATAAATTCTTTTCTTCAAGTTCTTGGACGTGTAGATAGTTCTCAACCTCAGTATCTAGCTTCAGATTCGATATGGCACGGGTGATATTCTCCATTGGATATCTGGCTGACGACAAACGTACGCCTCAGCTGCAAAATGGAGGCAATAATGAGATGGTGAATATCTTTCGTACCAGGTCGAGGTATCTTGTTCGGATATGAACAACGATCGATCTATTGTTACTCAATAGTGTCGACTGGAGGGGGTTTTTGAATACTTACCAGGCTGAAAGCAGAACTCCGGCGTCACACAGTGAGTGAGGAGTGATGATCTGCCGCCGGGTCTCTATGCTAACCCAATACTTCCCGAAGTTCGAAGACTGCGCACTTGTTCAGCTCTGCTCGTCATGGAGAATATGTTGTTCCCGCGACTCCACTTAAGACATAGTTCGCTGTGGAAGTTGTGTAGTGCGGTGAGCGACTGCAAGAGAAGCAGTTGCTCTTGGACACATGTACGATCAAAAAGGGCTGTCAAATGTGGGGTAATGCACGGCGGCTGTAAGGCGAAGCCAACGGCTGACGGTGGTGCAGGTGCCTCGGACCACAGGGAGAGACACTCATGGAAGATTCCAAGATACGATGATGGGGGCACTGCCAGCGTGGGTCAGCTGATTCCCGAGGACAGGGCAGGTGAGGGCAGACGGACCATCGTTTTTCCGATGGATGCATTCAACCCCACGATCCTTCACTTTTCAAAGATTAACTGTTCAGGAATCGACGTCTTTGTACTGCTTCAAGCGACGACTACATCTTCTCGACATGTCAACCATGACGTTCATCTGTGTTGCAAACTGTCTGTCCGTCGTTTTCCACTGCTACCTGGACGATCTGGAATTCCAGAGGTTGGAGCCTCGTACCCAAGAGCCCCTGGCGAGGAGCGGATACCACGAAGCCATCACGATATATTACCTGTGATGGTAACAAGCGATAGATGCACTCCACTTTACCGACGCGGCTTGCCCATGGCTGAAATGATCCTTCGGCCAACAATCCGGTCCCAAGGTAGACACTTTCGAGACTGCTACCTATCGAATCTAGCTTGCCTAAAGGAATGGGGGCGCAACGACATGTGAGAAAAGGTGGATTATCGATCCTCGAAAGCCAACCATTTTGCAGGCAGGAATACTGATAGGGAGCCAGGAAATGTCAAAGACAGATCGTTGGCTGGTACAGTGTTACCACACCACTGACGAGAGCTTTTTGCATTCTGTGCCCCGTCGGTGCAGTAAATGCCTCACCCGTTGAGATGCGAGGTGGGCCGTTCTGGCGACCACCCCGGAAACTCGGAGGCAGGCTCGGTACTGTAGCAGGGTGGAAGAGAACTTGATGCTGGATCGAAGAGGCTTCCTCTTGAAGCTCTCCTGCAGGAATTCCATACATTTCAGATGCATAACATGGTTGGCATCTCTCTCAATCCTCTTTCTCATATCCCTGACATGGATGTCTCCGTAGACACCACGATATCACAGATCTCTTCATAAGCTTCATGTTAAGCTTACGCACATCTCCTATATCTTCTCCGGGAGTGAGAGATTGGAGAATGAAGCCATATCAGCTTCTCTTCCAACCGACTAGCGAGCCTGGCCCCAACGTGGTCGCCCGAACGGTCAACGAACAGGCATCAACTATGACTAGCCTCTCAACCGGTGAGGCATTTAATGGACCAGTGCGGGACAAACTGTGAAGGCTCTCGATGGACAACCTAACCGTCCACCTTTAACAGGTCCTAGCCCCTGTCATTCACGCTGCCTGTGAAATGGTTGGCTCTCGATGATCGATAGCAGCCACCGTCCAGTTCCCGTAAGAGTAGGATCCGGCGACCAGCATGGCCAATGAATGTGAGAGAATTGCATGTTGAGACCATGATCATCTCCTCCTTCGACGCCTTTCCTAGTCACATCCTGGGTTCCATCATCTGATGGCTTCGTGGTGTCTGCTCCTAGCCGCTCGTGTACATCCGTTCGACGCGAGCGGTTCTTGGGTGTTAGGCTCCAGCCTCAGAAATTCTGGAATCGTCCAGTCAAAGACGTTGCCGTATTCGAACCCTTGTCGGCGAAATAGCTTGTTGAACATCTTCCGCAGGTGCCGATAGTCCGGCCGATCTTCGTAGCGCAAGTTGGGCACATAATCCATGTACTCCTCGAATTCGGTTGGTAGGCCTGCGCAGAGTTCGCTCGCACTAGTCGCCTGCTTTTTCTCCAAAACCAGCAGGTGTTTGGCATCCCGCTTTGCTTTGAAGCCTTGCCAAGGAAATCTCCCACGTATAAAATACACCAGCATGTAGCCGAGTGCCTCCAGGTCGTCGCGCCGGGATTGAGCTGCAGGACGGTCAGCCGGCCTTTCTTGCATGTTTGACCACAGTTGATATAGTGACCATACCAATACCTAAATGCCCGTTGATGCTTGCATATCTGCATGTTGCCTAATAGCTGAGGAGGACCCGCTGTCACATCACGGGAAGAGGGGCTGTTCGAGATCCACCGGTCCGGATGGCGGTAGATAGCAAGACCTAAATCAGTCATGTAGATGATGTTCCCCGCTTCACCCATACCTTGAAGAAAGTTTTCAGGCTTGACATCCTGGTGAAGGTAATTGTGGGAATGGAGACTCTCGAAGCGGTGAAGCAGTTGGTCGGCAAGCATCAGTGTCGTCTTCAACGAGAACTGGTCGCCACAATATCGGAATAAGTCTTCCAAATTCGGGCCCAGCAATTCGAAGACCAAAACCATGAAGTCATCTTGCTGTCCGTGCCAGTACACCCGAGGAAAGCCGGCCTTCCGCGCTAGAGATTGATAGATTCGCGCTTCTTCTTCAAGTAGAGACGGTGCCACACTGTGATGTTCGAGTTTCATGGCGACTTCGTTGCCGGTTTCAGCGTCGCGCCCTGTTGACCGTGAGATTTCATTTCAAGATGGTCGTTAGGGGTGTGGCCATACCCAAATAGACATTGCCAAAGGATCCAGACCCTAATTTTCGCTCCAAATGGTACTTGCCGCCGATGGCTATATTTTGAACACGCAGCACGAAGCTGTCCATGCTGTCAGTGGTCGTTACAGTGGTCCATCGACGACATCCACTCATGGTAATTTAAGCTTCGGCCACTCGCTACACTTTCCCCATGGGCCTGAGAGTTGTCCACGGTTGCCTAAAACCCCGCAGACTGAGCCCCGACACGCTAACGCGGTTCACCACCTCTGATCCAATCAACTACTCTTTAGGCGCCGGAGGCTTGAAATCGTGTGTCGACCTCCCGTCCATCCAGATATACGACCAATACATTGACTGGATGCGAACTGCTGCATCGATATCCTGCCACACCTCTCCTCTCAACATGCAACTCTGCCTAACCCGCCGCGCTATATTGTGTCCTTCTTCGCGGCCGCCTCCTCACCCTTTTCTCCTCGACCCTTTCTCTCTTCCCTCATGTTCGCCCTCGAAGAACCCAAGTCGAGAAAGCGACAACGGTCCTCACCAGAGCCCGAGGATTTTGAGCCGGAGCCAGCGAAGAAACAGAAATCTCTTTCGGAAAACCGTAACCTCCCTCGCCATCGTCCTCCCAGCTTCTGGGACACGCTGTCCAAAATTCGATTGAGTCGCGGCGCTCTCCGGGAGTTTGACCGTAGGAACATTGAAGAGAAGGTTCAGTCACCTTGCACGATTACACCGAAGGTCGAATATCCCACAGGGCGTGCTCGCCTGCTGGTGAAGAGATTTGCTCGACGTGGTGGGCCTGATCTATCACACCTTCGAGGGGTACGTCTTTCCTATGCGGATGTGGGCTTCGGAGACTGACCAGAGGTTGTGACAGCTGGTCAACTTACCTCCTTCGATCCTCGACAGAATGAGCGATTATACCAGTTCCTCAAGCCGGAAACGGTCTTCAGCCTTCTCGAGGCCGAGTGACTGTACTAGGACCACCTCTACTAAGACCACCCCGTTTAGCGGCAATTTTAAGTAAAAACTGATCGATAATGGCATCTACTCTAACGAATATAAATATCTGGATAGACGTCTAACACCTAAGCTGGCGAATTTGTACGATATAAAAGCCGCACAGCGCGTCCCTCGGGCATCTCAGTCACCTTCCCGATTCACAGATAAACACTTCAAGGCGTTTAAGCGGGCAAATACAAGAGCGTTCGGCGAGACTACGAGGATATATAATGTACTCTCTTTCATCGCCGGAAATAAGACGACCCATCGTTTCGAGGTAAGTCTGCCACTAAGCAACCTAAAACCGTTCGATAAGGATCTTAGCGAGCCTATCCTTAACGTCTACTACGGAGCGGCACTCTCGACCATCTATCCGCGCGTCCGTGCTGACTTAGGACCTTACATTATTCTATCGATGGCCGATACGACTCGTCCGGCTGCTCCGAACTTCTTCGTCGAGGGCAAGAGCGATTAAGGACGGGCGGATATGGCTAGGAGATAAGCCATGCATGACGGAGCATTTAAGGCTCGAGCTATACACGAACTTCGGAACTATAAAGCTATAGAGCTAGAATATGACGATAAGGCACAAAGCTTTAGCACAACGTACCACGCAGGCACCGGCAACCTTTAGACCTATGTACACTATCTCACCGCATCTCTCACTCCTAGGGGGCCAGAGTATTATATGACTTAAACCCGCTCCTTCGCGATGACAGACTCAGCAGACCGCTTTCGAGAAGGCGCGACGGCCTACCGCAACGACCGAGACCTCGCAAAGATAGAGCGGGACAGCTCCATTGCCCATACCAACCAGGTGGCTCGCCAGATGCCCGCGCCCACCCCGAATACCAGCTTCATGACCAGCCGCACATCCCGTTCAACGGTCGTTGCTGCAGGATCGGACATCTCTGAAGACGAGCTGGCTCGCGATGAGGTGACGCCGGTGAAGCGACTCAGACCTGTTCCAGTACAACGTTCTCATGACCACGCATCTACAGCCCGACGATCCGGTCGCGCTTCTACTTCCTTTAGTCTCCAGCACTCCACTGAGACAGATCTTGTCCCGCCTCAACGTCGAGCTCAGTCGTCGACAAAAGGACGAGAGCCTTCCACGAGAAGGGATTCAATGGATCATCCACAACCATCTGGGAAGACTGCGCAAAGTTTGCGAAATGCAACCGAAGTGCCTGCAGAGCGAATGCGCCGTAAGAATGAGTCGGGATGGTGTATCGAGTATCAGGGGAAGTCTATTTTTGTGCCCGACGCATTCCCTACCAATAAGATTCATTTGCGCAACTTTGCACCACCTTCAGGGAGGAATGGAATCGGCAGCCCCTTCCTGTCTCTATCACCTGTCCCTCCTTCCCACAAGGATTGCGCAAGACAGTAGGATTTCGATTATCCCCTTCCTCCTCTTAGTTTTTCGTCCTTTGCATGCGCCGACTGAAAGCTTGGAATATCGGTCGATAGGCCAAGACTCCTTGATGACATCATCTGGAAGGAGCATAAAAGCCTTTTTCGAAGTCCTATGTTTCACAATGACTGAATCCCAAAGGCTGAAGCAGGCTGGCTACGAAGAGGAAGGGGACTTGTATCTCCTCTACGGAAAAATCTTGTGTCAGCTGGCCAATGCCTATTTGCGACCGCCGGCAACCTGGCTTTGGGGTTCCTACGACCCAGGTGATCCCAATTGGTGGATGTCGGAGGAAAATATATACCGAAATGCCGCGATAAGTCTCCTGCACCATATCGAGTGCTTGGCTTGTTTGACATATGCCGACCAGTACCGACGATACGAGGTGCATGGGGTGTGTGCTCACTACATGTTGTTGACCGAAGGCGGTACACGTTGGCTGGATGAGCCCCGATGGCAGTGGTTCGGTCTCTGTAACCACGAAATGGCCGAGATCTATCACGCACGGGGGGTGATTTTGAAACTTTCAGCGGAGGCGTTACACGAGTTTAGGATCCGGTGGGATGGCGCCAGTCTCGAAACCGCCATGAGGAAGGAACGCGAGGCCGCACAGGAAATGTACTACGCAAAGCAGTTGCACCAGGAAAACGAGCTTTACGACCGGCTCTTTCTCGAGTATGCTGGCCGTTCCGCAGAATTCTTTGGCCCGGAACATCAATATCGTTGTTGGTCCTTCAATTACACTGATGTCACCGGCCAGCCCCAACAATGGGTGGGTGACTGGAGAATGGTGATGAGTTGGGGAGGAACCTCGGTCCTCCCATTTCTTCCGCTGGCACAGAAAAGCTTTGATGACATATTCGGCGAAAATGAATGATACAGTAGCGATACCAGGAAGCGCGCGTACAGGCTGATATACCTGAGTCGCAGGAGGCGTACAATAGGCCTAAAATCCGGGGGTATAGGTGTACAGCCGGATCGCACGGCTGAGGCGCAAGGCTGCGTTTTGCAACACCATGAAATATCTATATACTATGGCGACGATCAGGTAGGTATGCAATGAAGAAAATGATGCCCTACAAATTAATATGGTACCTATTCTGCAACCGATGTATCGCCGGCTTGGTGGTGAACAGTCCTACCACCTGTGCCATGGTTGCGAGCCGCACGGGTTCAGCTTTGTTCTGCTCGTTGGATTGCACTGCTGCGCACCCCGATACAGTGCACTTCGCAAAATTATTTGAGCCACAGAAGAGGCCCATCTAATGTGACTCTTTGCAGTGCACATCCTTTGGTCACTCTCTCTTAATGCGTGCTCAGGTGGACGAGAATGTCGACGGCGTCAAACAGACACTGGCCAACAGCTCGGAAGTGTGTTCCATGTGTTCGACAACGCCAACCATCCCAATCTCCGCCTGACCCGGTACTTTACCGGCGGGAAATCGAGGCGACATCATCACCACCAGTCGTAACCCTCAATCTCAACACTACAATACCCTGGGATACCGGGAAGTGGGCTGACTGTCGCTGCCTGATTCCATCGGTGGTAAGGTCTCATTGCTCTGGTTGATGTCGTACTACCTGGCCCAACTTCTCAACCTGCCAAAATACTCCATTCGAATTGTTGGAGGGAACAGTGATGCCCAAGCATTCTCCAAGTGATTAACACCTGGCAAGGTGTTTTGTCCTACGTGATGAATTGCGGTTGCGTGGCTCACAGCACTTTTTATGTCGACACAATCACTTGCACCATGCAAAGCACGAGTTGTTCTGGCACTAGGATGTAGTCTTCGTCTTGAATCAATATATCGTGGCTGTGGTTCCCGATGTGCGGATACTCGACATTCTCTGTGCTCGATCCCATCGCCTTGACACGACGAACTGTATTGAATTGCTCGTAAGGCACAATATCTCTCACTATGGCATCCTACGGCCTCGTTCTGTCCCTAGGAGGTCGCCCTGCCAGCCACCATAAACAAGGACTTATATCGGTCATCGTTCTTTCGGCTATTGGTGAATCTATTTCCCTCTCTCGTTCTCTCTCTCGTTCTCTCTCTCGTTCTCTCTCTCGTTCTCTCTCTCGTTCTCTCTCTCGTTCTCTCTCTCGTTCCCTCTCTCGTTCCCAAGTCTCTCTTGCCCTTTCCTGCCCCAATTCCAATGCTGTCTATTCGTCTCCTGTTGTGTCTGCCATTGCGTCCTCTCCCGGACTCGCTCGTCTTCCCAGCGTGCTCTCTCGTCTCTTCTCTCTCTCTCCCAGCGTTCCCTTTCCCGTACTCTCTCCCCTTCCCATTGATTTCGCTCGTCTGCAACACGTCTCTCCAACCGGTCCATCTCGAGCCGAAATTCTTGAATGATCTCACGCGGGTTTACCAGATGGGGATTCATTATTCCCTGTTTGTCGGAAATGGATCGTGACCGTCCAGTTAGGTTGGAGAGTCGCCTCCCAGATTCTTGGGAGGATAATATTCCCATCGGGTCCTGATAATTCAAATTGACTCTGACGGACATCGGCAATAGTCCGCCGACAGGACTCGGCCATCAAAGTCTCCATGCCCTTCGCACAATTCCTGTCAGCTTCCGCTGAAATGGAGGTTCAATGCAATAAGCGTACCAGCCATGTCCGACAACTGAGATAAAGGGAACCTGTAGGGTCGGCCGACATCGTTGATGAATGTGATGAATGCTGCTTCCTCTGTCATCTGCTGGAAAAAGGAGTAGGGCCCCTTTCATGCTGAGGACAAAGCTGGCTCCATATTTTCTTGTACTTATGAGCACGAAATCTACTGAGATGTTGGAACTTATATGGTGGAGCTTAAAATGACTTGCATAAAGACTCTCCCCCCCAAATACTGCGCACGTGGTGGTTTCTCATTGGCATCGTACTTATGCATAGAGTGAACATCCTGCAGCTCTGAGCATGCGTGTGAATGGATGATCGTACGTGACGTCTTCTTAGCTTGGATTTTAGTGCACGGGCCGTGCCTTAATCGAGGACACTGCTTGGAACACCAGTGGTTCAAGTGGTCCAGTTGATAGGGTGGTGGTTGCGGTTCTCTAGCATGACGCACTGGAACACGGATGGCGCCACTTCCCACCAGCCCCGCTCCAGGCTTACAATTGCAAGGGCCGACCGCTTGAGCCTGTATCTCCAAGTTACCATTAGACTTGGTGTGGGTCCGCGTAGAGTTGAACCAGGGTGTTAGACCCGATCTCGCATACCTAGAATCTCCATGTACGATCGTACACCTTTAAGATAAGAGGCATCCAGATTCATCGGCCCAGCGAGACTTTTAGGATATAGTTCACAGACAACTCTTACCACTGAAGGTAGTCAGCGCTTTTGTGCAGTAGTTGTGCCAAAAGATCGTAGGTTTGCACAATGTCGTTTAATGCAGCGACTGGAACAACCGACCACGAAGTCAGGCCGGTGCTTGTACATGTGCGTTGACAAGATCAAGTTGAATTACAAGGTTGTAATCGAACTTGGACGTTAAATACGAGGCCGGACCCGATTGTTCAAACGACTCTCTCCAATCTCCGCAAAAAGATATTCTTCCGGCGCCAAAGCCCCCGTCCTGTAAGCTGTAGATTGGCATATACTTCTGTGAATGTCCTCACAGATGTACTGTAAGTAAACACATGCAACTTTAGCCTTGACCGCACACAGTTAAGCCCAGCCATGATTGCTACTGTAGCGTGATCGTAGAGAATACGGCAATCTATTTTCAGATTTTGCGTTGGTTAGCCAATGATACAGTATTATATGTATCAGTGATCGAAATTGGGTAGTAAGGCAACTTCACCTCCAGGGCTGTGCAGGGAAGCTCTTTTTCGATTGCCTTAGTCTCACACTCCGAACTCGAGACCTGTGCAGAAGAGCATCTTGAACGTCCAATGGGAATTTGTAACAAGGATATGTACGAATAATTTGGCTCCCACTTCACATGATCTTGGTAGTTCGCTGTGCATTTGGGAGAGAGATGCGAATCTCGTCCGCATGACCAAGCGCCTCCCATGTATCTGAAGCCCAGTGCTGACCGGCAGCTTCAAGTCACATCGAAGGAGATGCTCGCTCACGTGACAACCGTCTTTACGTCGCACGTGACGGTGATAGAGACAACTTATCTAGCGTCACATATAAGACCGGTTTCAGCGACTCCACGTCATTTCTGGATATTTCAGAGAGATATCTGGACCCTTCTCCGGCATCGTCTTGGCGAAGCGACTGCCAGACAAGAACCATGACATCTTCCGCAGTCGCTCCACTCGAGCACAACACTTCATCAGCTTCATTCCAGACAACAGCGGGACAAAGGATTGCCTGGAGCTTCAAAGAATAGTCAAGAGAGCAGTCAATCAGAACAATAATTGAACCCATGCGGTGTAAAATACCCGGACGAGGACTCATTTTCCTATATCTAGCTGGTACTATGGGGTGCTTGTGGGGCGAATTCGGAACCACATGCAGTTACCGATGGAATTTAAATCATAAACTGGAGCAGTGTAAGGACGAAACTGGTTACTGCGCAGCCCAGGCCGAGAGCTGGCTGATGATCTGAGGTTGCGCGCGAGGAGTTCTGCGGCGACACTTACATGGAGAGCCTCAAGAATGTGATAGACTAATGCGGTCACGGCTCACTCCTCCCGTAACGCCCAGCATCAGCCATCGCTGCTTCGATGAAGAGTCACCCGGACGCCCAGCTGCAACGGAGCGACCGTTCGGGAGCTGGTAGGGCGCAATACATGGGATGCTAGGAAACGATATGTTTTGCTAACCAGCTGTCCCAAAGATCACTGCTAATAGAGCACGAGTATATTGAGATTCAATCAGCACATTTCAGAGTCGGGGTTGCAGTTCTACCAAGCTTGTGAGCTGCCTCCACGATGACACGATTTTCGGTGGACGAGTAGCCTGACACGCTTTTGATCTGGCAGTTTCAGTGGGTCATTCTGTGCGGCTATGAGTCCATGATGCACGTGCAGATGCAGGAATAGACGATAATACATAGGCAGTGGCGGAACCGGCTTTTGGTCTTGAGCGTCCAACTTGGCTTCCCCCTTGTCTGGGTATGACGCTGAGCCAGGTACACAAGAGGGCAAACGACTTGGGCATCGCTGCGGCATTCGACATGAAATTTTGCAGCGAGGGTGGCGGCTTCCTCCAGTTCAACCTCCAATAATCCCTTTTTCTGATGCGTCGGCGAATTGCAGCCTTGAAAATCTTTGATTTTGACATTGTTCTCCAAAGGGACAGTCGGCAGCACATTCCACCTGGGAAGCCCGATTGAAATAACGAGAGTCTTTGTCACACGGCTAGTCTCTGCAGGAAGATTGGTCATCTGATTGGTCGCTGGCCCCTAACCCTTTCATATAGGTGCGGGTTTCGACGGATCCGAACGTAAGGTGCGCTATCTCCGTGAATTCATGAAGGTGACCAAGGCAAACAATTTCGCAGGTGGTTTCTAACACGTAGGGTGCCATGTTGGCGATGAAAGTTCGCATTCCAGAGCAGGGCGATCAGACTGCATTGCTTTACCTTACATTTCTTCTCAACCTGAAACAAGACATTTGTGCAACTGCGCGGGTCGGATTAGCAGAGGTTGCTGAGGCGCGCCGCCTGGAGGATACAAGGCGTCAAGAACTTTTGTGTCCTCTCACGATGACTTCAGGCTAGAAACACAAAACATTGTTCATAGAATATCCATTATTGTCCACATGCCTGTTTGAGGTCAAACAAGAGTTTGTTTGTATCCAGTCATGACGCAAGATGGCGAACCGACGCAAGATGGTGGCCCTCCGCTCATGTTGAACCCACCAGCCTTTCTGTTTTTCCTATGTCCAACAGGAAATATTCTCGAGACAGGATAAAAAGAGTGCCTACGATCCCCCATTTTCTGCGCGGGAGAGAGTCGCTGGGGTAAAAACCATCCAAGTTGCGCAGATGTAGACTTTTGCTGACCGGAGCTAGATTCGGAAACTCAACCCCTTCCAGGATCACCCATACCATTTCCGACGCAGCCATCATCTCCAAAAATGGACCAGGGTTTCATTTTAGATGAGATATTTGACTTTCGATAGTGGGTTTCTCCTCAGTCTTCACAATTGACAGATATAGTTACGAGCCTGGGAACCAATGCCTCTCCTCTACCTGATCCCCGTCGCACTCACCGCGACACCGAACGAGCTAGCCATGTCGAATTACCATGCACGGCTAACTCCCCAATCATGCTTGCTTGTTGAGGTCGAGATTCCGGCCAAAACGCAGCATAATACGGCTTTGGTCATGACTACCGTATTATGACATCGAGCTGCGCCCGTAATGTCTTGTAACATGATTAGGACAGCCTCCGTCGCCCATGTCGTGTCAACACGTGTGCAGTTGGTCTGACAAGATGGGGCAGTCAACTTGCGATGATTCAAGCGGCAATACTGTACCTCTCAGCCATATCGTAGATTGTCTGCCGTGCCAACCATTTAGAGTGGGTCGCACAATAGCCTGTGAATTGCTCTCTACAATGCTAGCCGTGCTGACCACATGCAATGTACTGGTTAACTGATCACAGATACATGTCGGTGGAAGGCGTTGACTCTACTCGCGATGGTTGCATAGGCCGTATCAATGCTCTTCGAGTATACGAGATGATGTTGGAGTAGTACAGATCTTGTTCAATCGAGGCCATGGATTTATCAGGTTCTGCATATCATGTGCCAGAATTCACACGTTTGCGGTCAATTGTGAAGGCCAATACTCGACCGTTGGTGAGTGCCACAGCTAGCCGGTCTCCCTTAACATCGAACTGGACAATATCAAAACCTGCTGGTAGTCGAAGGATACGCTTGCGGTCGTAGAGAATCCATTGGTCACTGACATGCAGAATGTATGGCGAGTTTACCTCGCTGGTAGCTTTTCCATCACCTCTCGCACCAATACTAAACAAACCACAATTTGTGATCAAGTGTTTGCCGTCGGAGGAGAATTCATTTGATATACGACCCCGGACGTCTGAATTTGTCGGAACGTCTGAAATTTGAGACGGCGACCCAAGGGCTTTGCGAGCCACTTTGACGAATTCAGGGCGTCCTCGATGTCCCACACCTTGATGGTCTTGTCATGAGATCCAGACACAATCTTTCGGCCATCAGGTGAGAATGCCACCTCAGTGACCCAGTTCCCGTGACCGACCAGTGTCATCTCCACCTGCCCCGTCGTCGCATCCCATATCTTGACGGTCTTGTCCCAAGATCCAGACACAATCTTTCGGCCATCCGGTGAGAATGCCACCACGCTGACCACATCCGAGTGACCGATCGACGTAGTCTCCACCTGCCTCGTCGTCGCATGCCATATCTTGATGGTGTCGTCCTGAGATCCAGACACAATCTTTCGACCATCGGGTGAGAATGTCACCGCGTTGACGAAACTCGAGTGACCGACTAGCGTCTTCTCCACCTGCCCCGTCGTCGTATCCCATATCTTGATGGTGTCGTCCCGAGACCCAGACACAATCTTTCGCCCATCAGGCGAGAAGGCCAATATTCTTCAAGTCCATCTCTTGTCTCCATCTCGTACCGCCGAATTCACATCTCCATGTCAGTCAATCCCCCAGCTCTCTGAGGCAAACTGTAGAGAGGTTGACAGTATGTGACTACAATTGTTGCCGAAATGCGTGATGCCAGACTACGTGGATGAATGGGTGATTGCATAGACAGCACGGGGAGGGGTCTTGTCAATTCTTGATACTTGTCTAGAGTCTCTTCTAAGTCTTTAAAGGAGAGGCAGGGTCGCTAGATCGCTATGCACGACGAGACTCGGGAATTAACTACTCTGGGAAGCGAACGAAGAAAAAGGGTGAGCGGGCCGACCAGGCTTGCATGGCAGCTGTGAAACCAACAGGCTTCTGAGGTATAAAAGGACAGTCTCCCATTGGCTCCGACCTTGGCCCTCATTGTTTTTGCCAATCCCTGCCATCGCATCAAATGTCTTCAGATATGGCCGAAATGCAACCAGCTCTCATCCTCGATTATTTTCTCAACGACGATGACTGTAACATTCAGGTCGAATACGGCTCGGTTGTGGACGCTGCTTTTAGTATGAGAAGGAGGCAGGCGCGGCTATTGAAAACGACACTGCAAGCCAAACAAGCTGAATTCGAACATAACGACAGCGACAGAACCTTCGAGACACTGCCGACACCAATCGAAAGAAGCTCAGACAACGAGTCGCAGATTGCGACAGTGTAAAGATGACAACAAACCGCTACGCCTCCGGAATTTGAACTGGCCGATGAGCTGGATGTTGCGCGAAAGGAATTGGAAAGGGTCGATCATCTTCGGTGCAACATCTGCATGGTGACGTTCAAGAGTGCCACGCTTCCATGTGGTCACAGTGCATGTAGAGAATGCTTGAGCTTATAGCTCGGCCATAAGTCAGGCTTGCCGTGGTGCAGGCAAAGTTTTGAAGCCGATGATATTCGAGATATCTACCTTGGATCTGCCAGTGAGACGCTGGATGTCCCTGAGAGTGATGCTGACGTTACGGATGTTATCTCACTGGCTAGCGACAGTGCACAGGAACCCGTACGATCGAGAGCCACAACATAGCTTGGAAGCCAGGAAGTCAGCAAAAGAAAGAACCGTGAAAGATAGCACTTCTGCTTGAAAATAGGACTAGGCCAATGACGCGATAGATTTCCAGCCTCAATTCGAACTGTTTCAAAGACCGAAACCGCAAGATATCCTCAGACTTTTGTGAAAGAGTATATATCGTATAGAATATGGTCAAGACCAGGCCTGTTGCCCTTGAATCAACGCGTCAGGAATACCCTGGCTGATGCTTAAACCCACGGTATGGTTGATCTCAAACCAAGCCTCGTTGGGTGATGGCGAGCGGCGCACAGGCAGCAACTGTGCCTCTCAACCGGTGAGGCATCTGCAGACCAGTGCTGTGTTCGCTCAGTGTTGTGCCAATACCAGCCAACGATGGACCTTTCACACTTCCCGCCTGCTGTCGGTATTGTTGCCTGCAGATGCCCGCACTTGGCGAAGTGGAGCATGACCCCTGCTGAACGAGAGCTTGACGCACCAGAAAGAGGCGGAAGGCAAACCGATCAAACTTTTGGTCAAAAGAGCGGTCCTCGGGTCAATGATAATCCGAACAGGGCTTGCATCCTATCCAAGTAGGTTTTGCTCCTCGCCCGGTCTTAAAATGCGCCAGCCAGGCAGTTCTAAGGCTCCTGAACAGTGTCACTGTTATGTTACGAATTGATTACCTCAGTTCTTTGCATTACCACCGTTCCTCGTTTAACACAAGATGGCAAATTCGTCTTCGTAAAGATCTGCAGACACGTCGTCTAGCCATTTCTGAACCTTAGCTGGATCATATACCTCCCGAGCGCCAGCGTCAGAAGCGTCAGAAGCGTCCGAGTCGTATTCTGATGACTCTCGATGTATCCAAGGATGCATGTGAAGTTTGCGCGTCTCATGGTCGTTACCCATATCAATCCAGATGCCACCTTCCTCTGTGTCCTTGTGCCAATTGACAATATTACGAGTAGCATTTTCTGAAGCGTAATCACCATCGGCGAGGAATCTCATTCGAGTTAGCTGCAGAGCTAGCATGAAGACCGTTCACTTACTCGGATCGGAAGAGGTCAGGCTTTCCTGAAGGCAGATCCTTTCCGAGCTGCAGACTAGCACTCCGCCGTGAAAGTCGAAGAGACTGGGCAAGAATATCTTCGCCTTCCACCCCCTCCTCCTCCGCCACAACCCAAAACATCTTGTAACTCTGAAGATAGTGATCGTGATACAGATGAGCGCTCACCTCTAAGCTGAGGTTATTCTCCTTAGTATATCCAAATGGCGGATAGGGCGTTTTCGGCTGGAATGCCATTGCGTTCACCAAGTATGTTATGCGATATTCGTTAGCCCGTGGTATAGTTCCCTGCGGTCCGCTGGAGATGTAGTCGTACTGAATAAATGACTGCGGAATCCCAGTCCAAGTGGAGACCGGAAGGTTAACAGATGAATACCCAAGAACAGCATTGTTGAGGATATGCCCAGCCTGACCACACCAGATGGCAGCCAGCCAGAGTGGCGCTATAGTAGGTCTCTTCTGGATCATGAAACCTTCCAGGGACTTCATGTTCCCGCCCTCTGCCACCACCTGGCGAACCCCTAGGAGGTGGGCCCCAACCAAAGTGCACGGCACGCCTGAATCTAGAAATGGGCTGCTCAAGATCGATTCAATACCTTCTTCGGCGCAGCTGAGAGTGATAGACTTGTCCACCAAAGCCTCAAACCTTTTGTGGCGAGACAGGCACCTGTCTGACTTACCAGTCGGTAATGAGTACTTTGGGAGTTTGATGTTCTTATCGGGATATTGCGAAAGAAGCATGACGGTACAGAGAGCAAGCATAGCTTCTCTGCGCATGCTTTCTGTAGCACAAAAGTGTTCAAGTGCTTCTAGTGCCAAAATGGACTGGGGAGGCCATTCTGGCAAGTCAATGCTATCATATTTCTGTTAGTAGGGTGTTAATATAGACTGGATTGACTGACGGACTTACTGCGCTGTTGAAGTGTTCTTTGACCAAGACCAGGGGGCGTGGTAAGTATTTTCGCCTCGAGTGACTACAGCATGCCAGTCCCCCGCAAGAGCAATCTCCCAGAAATTGGACAAACTTAGCGGCGTCGGCTGCAGAAGTTGCGCATGTTCCCCAGCTATCGCAAGTCTCTCTGCCCATCGACAAGAGAGAATATAACACCAAGCTCGTATAAGGCATGCCATATTCGGCGAAGCTCCCATCCCCGAAGAAAGAGTCGAGGTCAGGGCCCCCTCTTCGTGGTCGTAGCTTATCGGCGTGGAGAGACCCAGTCTTGCGTAGTGAGTGAGATCTCCCACTCTCACATTACATGCTGTAGCCTTCGTCGTCTCCCATTCCGATCTGCATTTCAGATGCAGCCATTCACCATCGACCCAGGAGAGCCTTTGCTTGGAATTAAGTGAGAACGGTGGCACTCCGGCGAAAAGGTCGTACAAACATCGTTCGATGTCGAAATCTTGTGATGTGGCAGTTGAAATTGTCCAAAAGTTGTAGCTGGCAGTAGCGACAGCATAGAATTCTGCGCGACTCGGACAAACACGATCCCCGGGATAGGGATCCTCCGGCTCTGCACCCATCGCCGCACTGGATCGCGTGTTCTTGCGTTATAAATTTGCAGTTTCTGGCAGTGCCACAATATTGTACGTTTCTGTTTCACAAGAATAGATTTTCACAGGTTCTAAATTTGGACACAAGCCGCATACAGGATGATGCTGTCGTTAGACGCGCATCGAAATGTCAACAAGGGTCTTGGCCGAGCCAAGTCTTATCACTAGTTAGCCGCCGAGTCGAGCGGGGCATCCAGTTAAACCAGTGCCAGTCCCCGCACAGGTTCAATCTGAAACTACAACGCCACTCTGCACCAATAGCTGCATCATTAAATGACCAGACGTTACAGTGCACAGGGGTCGTAGCTTCAAATTCAGTTGCAAAATAGCCTGGACGCCGATAAGGCTTGATCGCCAATGTATAAAGTTCTTAGACGTCAGCAGGGGAATTTATTGAATCTATGCTTTTTATCCTTAGTCATCCTTGCGAAAAGTCACTACTCCACTCTATCGAACAACCTAGAAATACGGCATCAGTATCCATCGCAAGAGCCATTAGGTCGAAACACTGAGGTACGTTACTTGGACTACCGCTCTCTCAAATGATAAATTTCTTTAGTATGTCGACGAGTTCTGGCAGACCAGGATCCTGTGGCAATCGTTCTTGTCGCCATGCCAATAACGAACATACAATCCGAAGGTGTCGGGGGCAGGGGTGTCGAGTCGAATGGAAACGCTGCCAAGTCTCAGTTCGGTGCAACGGAGAGCATTGGAGAATTTGCAAGGCCTGCCCAGATCATCCAGGCGCAAGCCCTTTCTAGAGAGAAAATGTGATCCCGGAGTTGGAAGGGGTTGGCTTGATTGCGGCTGATGCTTGCGAACCGCCATCAGTCAGCACCTAATCCCAAGATTCTGCGGAATTGTTATAGCCCTTTCCTGTAGCCTGCAACCATGTACAACCTGAAAGTGAGAACGGACTGATACAATCAAAGTGTTTATATTCACCTGGTATGGCTACATAAAAATGTCATGGTAAACCGGCATTAGGACAAGCGTCTCCACAGGATATGGGTCGAGGAAGACTTCGACCATTTGAGGCCAGTCGTTATCCTAACTGAAGCTTGGTCAGCATGAAAAGTATTCGAAGTAGTCAGGATACCAACCTGCATCTTCCCAATCAAGTATCGTCAGCTCGAAGCCGTCTTCATCGTCTTCATCATCTCCATTTTGTAGATGTGTTCGAGTGACAATGATATTTTTCTTTTGAAGATCTCCATGTGTGAGAGCGGGCTGGTGGCCTGTAAGTGACATAGGAAGATGTTTCTGGAACCAATTGACACGAACCATGTGTTGACTATTGTCGGTATGAATCTGGCGGACTCTCTCTACCAAGCCTAAGCATAACTCCGCCTCGGTCATGAAGGGACCGTTGATTGTCTTTTGTGTTTCTGGAGTCCAAAAGAGAAAGTATGGGAGCGGCCCGTGGCAAATACTCCCATAGAATGGAGGAGACGGTGGCGGCAGAGATCTCATTTCGTTGAGGATCCTTCTGAGTTTGTTCAAGATTATTGACCGCTCGTGCGGTTGAAGACTTGGCCACAGACGTTCAAGCGACTGCCCAGCAACGTCCTGCATCAGCAAGTACGCGATGCCATCTTCTACATATAGAGCGTATAAAACGGTATAGGAGTCGTAAGGTTCTGATGGATGAAAATCATATTTAGTCCCTCTTGAATCCGGCGGCATGTTTGCGGGCCATATTTGGCGATAAAGCAGCCTCCGAATCCGGATAATCATGCCTATATGTTGGAGTTAAAGTATCAAACACTTCTAGCGGAGAAAAGATAGCTGATTCATACGGAGTTTTGAGCAAGAACCGTGACCGGAAATTGTGTCTTGTAGAAAGACGCCTCAGAAAGAGTTGAAGCCACGTTCCTGCTTCCGTTCCTGCTTTTTGGTCGAAGACTTCTCGCTCTGACCTTTTGAGGCCCTTGAACGAGACAATAGCCCTCGATGAACATCGCAATGCTGCTTATGCTGTCATGTCCAATGTGATCTCTCCGGACAAGTCTGGCCAGGTCTCAAGAATGCTTTTGCCAACAGTCCAATTTTGATAGATGCAAATATGTTTTTCAAACTGTTCGCTCAATTGTCGTCGCCCAGTGACAGGATCAGTAATGACCGCCGGACCTATGTTATCATCCCAATTACAGTGGTACTTGCACTTGCTCAAGCCGCCGAAGGTTTTGTCAGGCTGGCTCATCACCACGTCTCCGAGACGGATGTCCAGGTCCTTGGACAGGTTGGGGATGCCGCCTCCAATCCCCACCATCAGTCCAAACCGCAGTCCCGTGAATGTCCCCAGCATGTCATTGGCCACACGGGCGGCTGCGTTCGTCCCGTACACGCCAGCGGGCAGGCAGGCAATGACCACGTTGTGTTTGTGAATTCGACCCAGCACATAGTTATTGGAGTCGGATTTGTCTTGGCTTGAAATCTGCTGATGCTCCTCATCCAGCGTGGCAATCGCCGCCGTCATCTCATGACGAAGGGCGCAGACCACTCCCACTTGGTACTGCTCGATCGGGAGCGAAGGTCTTTGGCCATGATGAGGACGCTTCGGGGAGAGGTAGGTTATGGAGAGGAAGAGAGAGGTGGGAAGGATCGAAGAGTGATTCGGCTGAAGAAAAGTAGCGAGGCTCAAGATGAGACCATCAGGCTGAAAGAGAGATCACCGACGGTATGGGTGCGATGAGGCTGGATCACCACCATGAAGGATTCGGAAACCTTCGGGAAATATGTCCCTAAGCCGCGATTGAAAAGAAGTGGTTGCACCATGCAGAGTGGTGCAGACCATTGAACGACGGTAACAGGGCATTCACCCGGGGAACTCTAGTCGGCGCACCCAGCTGGCGCCCAGATGGCGGAACTCGCCCATAACAGGAGTAGGTGACATTGACGCGAAGTGGTCGCGGGAGTTGTTCCCTTATCGTGAGCGTCCACACGTGGGAAGGGGGCCTCAAGGCAACCTGGTAGGTTTAGCATTCAATCGTGTGGGGTTGCCAAGAAACCCTGTGGCCCAACCGTCCGCCTTTCAGGTGATGTCACATGTTCCCTAGTGTGGGCGCTTAAGTTCCGACCGCGACTGCACTTCGCTGGCAACTACATGAAGCCGTCCATTCCTTCACCCTCATTTCAAGCACCATGGCACGACGAGACAGTGTAACCGCTCAGAAGAACAGAAGGCAATCCGTGAAGCTGCCACACCAAGGTCTTTTATCCGCTTCCTCCTTCAGTACTCGACTGACCAGCAAAGGGAAACGCCCTCAAGGCATCGAGAAGGGACAAAAGCAAAACCCTCCTCGACGGAGCGCCCGTTTGGACCGTTTGATTGAGGTTATAGAGACTCAACCAAAAGCCAGGGAGCAGCCTCTACCATCTCCAGTCAGCGACATTAAAAGTCCTAATGTAAGTCGCCAGCGTTATTCTGGGATGGAATACTGACTCAATACAGCGTGCGCACCCACCTCCAACCCTTCTACCATCGAAGCCTCCGAAGCGGAAACGAGATACTGAACAACAATCAAACGCGCCCTCTCAAAAACGACCGCGAACATCTTGTCCTAGAACCCCAGTTCAGGACGTTGATTCTGTTAGCCATTGGACCCAGACATACCACTGGCCGCAAGAATACTTCAACGAAAGTGGCGAAATGAACCATTTATTGGCGAGAAAGAAATCCACAGCCTCGCTTCGCCGAAAGCGATCGGATAGCGAGTCTGGCGCACCCAGTTCAACCACACCGAGTGACCAGAAGCCTAGGGAGGAGAAGAGTGCCCCTTACCAAAATGCACGTTATGAGACCGTGCTTGCCACGAAGGACAGCTTCATGGGCAAATATGGGCAAGGTTCTACGAACGAGAGCAAGCGACTATGCCAACAGCTCCTTGACGAACAACAAAATGTACCGCAGGATACGATGTTTTCCGATGACCACTTCGAAGAGATTTGTGAAGCAATAAGAAACAAGAATGAGGCTAGAGTGATTCGAGATATCTCACTTTTGATTGTCCCATCAGCGGAAGTCCTTGCCATACGCGGAAGTCGGCACTTTCGGCACTTGATTGAAAGTGTAAACGAAGGCTGGAATAATTCTATTCCACTGACCAAACCTCGCCCGCAACCTGACTACTCTGTGGGTTTCCGACGAGAAGCATTCACTGAGACCCAGCTTCAGAAACTTCAGCCATTCGTTGGCGACCTCACCGACAACTCCTTCTTCATGGGGACATGGTACATGTACTTCCCATTCTTCTCGAGCGAAGTGAAGTGCGGTGCGGCCGCACTCGATGTGGCTGATCGACAGAACGCGCACAGCATGACTCTCGCTGTTCGAGGAGTCGTGGAACTGTTCCGGCTCGTGAAGCGCGAGAAAGAGCTTCATCGGGAGATCCTCGCCTTTTCCATCTCGCATGATAACGAGACTGTGAGGATCTATGGCCACTACCCTGTGATTGAGGGTAAAAAGACCACGTTCTACCGTCATCCCATTCATAAATTCAGCTTTACCACACTTGATGGGAAAGAGAAATGGACGGCGTACAAGTTTACTAAAAGTGTCTATGATATCTGGATGCCTGTTCACTTCAAAAGGCTTTGCACTGCGATCGATGCAATACCACCCGATATACATTTTGAAGTCTCCGAGGAATCGGATCTGCAATTCCCTTCATCATCTGGACTTTCACAAGGTCTGGAAAGCCATCACCTTTCGGAGTCAGCGGCTACAGATGACGACGGACTGAGCTTTCTTGACCCCCAGGAAGTCACGCCAGATACTTCTGTTACTCAAGCAATGGAACAGGCGACATTCAAGAAACCGAAGAAGAGATGAGATTCAGGATTTATATGGCCGTGAATCAAGCGTTCAAGAATGGTTTGTCGACCTCGGAGACGCCTGAAGGGGAAGCGAAGCTTCGAAGAATAGCATCGAAAACTCCCGATCCTCAAAAAGTCCTGCGGCAGTTTTGTATGCAGTCATAACGGGTGGGACTCCAGCACACCTGCCCAGTGGAGTCAGTGGACGCACGCTACATGATTCGAATATCGCATTTTGGAGTTCTGGATCTTCGGCTTCCAGAGGGTTAGGTTCTGCCGCTGGATCATCCAGTGCAGCTCCTACCTCAGGCTGTGGCTCATCTGGTACGGCATCTGCCTCGGGCTCTGGCTCGTCCGTTGCGACTTCCGGTGCGGCTTCCGCATCGGGCTCTGGCTCGACTGCTAGATCAATGGGGGCATCGTTGAACTCGACTTCAACCGGTGTTTCGTCGACACCCTTATACCTCTCTGCTGTTGGTTGACTGTCCTCTCTTGCTTCTGAAGCATGTCTGCCGCTGCCTGTCTCACCTGGGTCTCCAACTTCTCGGGGTACTGGATCCGGACTTTGGTAGTCACGAAGATAAAGCCATGTCAAGACTCGTTCAACTGTCTGGGAACTTGTGTGCCTCCAGTCAATGCATCCTTCTGATGATTCCCTCCAGCCTGGCTTAACTAGTTTCTGAAGCGATGGTGAGCTAGACTTCGAAAGAAGGGCTTCGTGAACGGTGAATTTGCAATCGCCTTCTCCCGCGTGGATCGCGACGCAATTACTGCGCAACAATCTAAGCACGAGTAAGCACTCAATCAACACTCGTACGTTGGAAGGGAGTAATACTGTGTGAAGTTATCCAGAAATTCCATCGGTTCAAAATTCGAAATCTGCTACCATTAGCCTCCGAACACCCTACCGATGGAATTGTTCGTCCAGACTTGCAAGGCATGGTATCTCGGGCGGGATCCTTTTTCGATGTCTGAAGTGGCGTTGTGGCGCTTGGGTGGCGCTCAGTAGAGTCTTTCTCGAAAAGCCCTCCCCTCGCAATCACACTGATTGTCTTTCCCCCGCGAGCCACGCGGGAGGATGTAATACCTTTGACCACGCTCAGATTTGGAGATCTGTACCCGTGTCACGCCAACAGGAGTTGGTCAGGTGTTTCCGTCTGGCACCAGCCATGTTGCCATATGATTGCCAGCTATGAAATTTAGGGTGTACAAAAGTTTCAGCTATTGAATCTCGTTCATTCGACTCAAATTCCACTTCGAGCTCGTCACATAGCCATTGTAATGTAGCCCTTGATACTTGACCAGCAATGAATACCGAGCTTTCTTTACCCCTCACGTCCTGTACAATAATGGGGGTTGTGCAGGAGAGAATAAGCATCATTTCCCGCTCCTCCAGTTCGATTCCTTGGAAAACGATCTGAGGCCGACGCACAAGCTTATATCCTTTTCGGATGAATCTGGAAATAGAATTTGTCAGATTGGTTTCCGTGAGCTCGTTCTTGACACCATCAACATCATCGCCAGCAATAGGTATAGCCTTTTCCGGAACGCCATCGGCACCCGGCTGGCCCCTCATGTGGAGGTACTGTATTCCAGCCGGCCCGGAAGAAATGGTATGAAATGTGCCGAGTGCAAGTGGTGACAGAAGCCCAAGCAAGGTATACTCGCCCATATGTATATCTCTGAAGACGTTGCGAGGTTGTTTGTGCCAAAGGTCGAGGTCGTTCAGAGGAATGAGTACAGAATTCAGGTACTTCAAACTCGCCGCAATTTCAGCTGCTGATTGCCCGACGTTGTCCATACGGTCCATGTGGTCCACGCGGTCCATGCTGTCTTTCATAGCAGCCAGAACTCTTCCCAAGGCTGCAGCCACTGCAGCTGGGTGGTGTTGTTCCATACTGAACACTGTCTCCACCTCGTTCTTGATAGACGCGATGTCGAGAGATTCTGGAGGTACAATTTGGCGAGCTGGCTCCTCGCGACTCTCGCTTTCGCGAGGCAGGCTGCGGAATGAAGCCTGTGGTTCCATCTCTTGTAAACTCTCCTCGGTCGTCGAGGTTCCTGTCTTGACGTGCAAACCTTGACAGGTTAAAAAGCTTTACTGACAAAGCGCCTTGAACAATCGGGTAGTGTTATAGTAGGATACAGAGAAAGAGGATTCGGTATTCGAGATCAGCCTCAGGATAGCGACTAGGAATTATCGAGTAGACGTGTCAGTTCTTGGCCTAATAGATCGCGAACGTTAATACAGTTCTAGCGCGCTCTTAATAATACGGTACAATTTGGCCAAATCGACGTCGCTCTGCGCGTGGCACCGGCGGTTAATGTGAGAAAGTGGTATCAGAAGGACCTAAGTACGCTCGTGAGTGATTCGCAGTTGGAGATGATACGCTATTCCGTATGTGTCATGCATGACTTGGGGGCGAAATGTAAAGTTGTCACAATGCAAAGCGGTCTCGAAAAAGACTGTATCCAAAGGCGATGATAGAGTACCCACCTCACATGGCGCCCAATCTCTCGGCATCACAGCATACACAGATCCGGCACGTGATTGAAAATGGGGCGTTCACATATCCTCAAATTGGGCAGGCCGCTAACTGCAGCGTTGACGCAGTCAAAGCGATCAGCCGAAACCTTCGTGATTTCGGCAGCACCAGAGCACCTCAAAATTGGGGTGGGCGTCCTACGTCCATCACTCCCACCATGCGAGAAGCGCTATTGGAACATCTCCTTCGAAAGCGCGACCTATACCTTGAAGAGATGGTTGTATATATGTGGGACGAATTCGAGACTCGTGTCACGAAGTCCTCTGTCAGCAGGACCCTACGTTCTGCGCATTGGTCGAAGAAAAAAGCTCGTGCAATAGCGAAAGGGCGGAATGCGGATCTACGCGATTTCTATCTACACAGCATTTCCTCTCTTCGCTCTTATCAACTGGTCTACGTCGACGAATCTGGCTGCGACAAGCGGATTGGATTCAGGCGAACGGGGTGAAGCCCTATGGGTGTCACACCAGCTCAGATTACTCAGTTTCACCGGGGTCAGCGGTATCAGATCTTGCCTCCATACTCACAAGATGGGATCCTGCTCTCGCGTGTATTCCAGGGTACCACCGACAGCGCCACGTTTGAGGACTTTATTAAGCAGCTCCTCCATCACTGTGGGAAATTCCCAGAGCCCAATTCGGTGCTGGTCATGGATAATGCGTCTTTCCATCGCAGCGACCGGATCGAGGAGATGTGTTCTGCTGCCGGCGTCAAGCTACTATACCTACCCCCATACTCTTCGGATCTAAATCCTATTGAGGAGTTTTTCGCCGAATTGAAAGCTTTCATCAAAAAGCATTGGAAAGTCTACCAGGAGAACCCAGGACAAGGTTTTACGGTATTTCTAGAATGGTGTGTAGATATGGTAGGAGGGAAGGAGAAGAGTGCCAAAGGTCATTTTCGAAATGCGGGATGGAATATTGAAGAGCTAGACAAGGATATATTACAACGAATTTCGCTGTCAACTCATCCAGGGGAGGAAGTTCCGGGAAACTCAAGAGAAGATACGGAAGTCTTACGTTCCACGGAAGAAATTTCAAGAGTACGAAAGTCACATCCGAGAGAGTCAAGAAGATCTAGGATGCAAATGGAACCTCCGAGTGCTAGCGGACCGACACGAACAGAACCGGCTAGAGGATTGGAACGAGTTTCGAGCGGTTTTCTATCGGAGGCTGAGAGCAATCAAGAATAAGAAGAGGATTGAGCTTGCGGAGCAGAATCTGTCCACGTACAAGGAGAAGTTTGAAGACCTTCAGGCACGACTGCCTGATGCTGTTACCGATCCAGACGTCATTTATGGCCGACTCGACGAGATTAAGGCGTCAGAGGAAGAAGTGGCTGAAGCGAAAACACGAATGGAATCAGCAGAGAAAGGATTACGAGCGGCACGCCGGAACAAGTCAACAAGAAAGAATGCAATCATCAGAACGGCGCAGCAGGAACTCCGTCTAGCCAAAGACAATCTTTACCGGGTGTCTAAATCGGAAGAAATGAGAAGACTCCGAGATGGTCATGAAATGCACCTCGCCAAGGACGTCATGCTGTTTTGCGAAGGTACGTTGCGTGCGGCACAGTCAGAGGTCAAGCGATGGGAAACATTTTTGAAGTGGATTGACGACCAATATCCCGTTATCGCAGCTGAATCCGGCTTTGCTATCGGCAACAGTAGAAATATCATGACTCAACCTGGGATGAACAATTCTAGGAAGAGAGCACTTCGGCCTCGTTGGCATTGTCGAAAAGATGCGCCATTGCCGTCTTCCGGTCGTCCCAACTCGTCGACGAAGGTCGTGAGAGCGGAGAGAAGCTCGGGGCGTCGTTCAAGTCGCGTAAGATACGAAAGCTCGTTACACGTCAGATGCGAGAAAAGTGAATGTTCCCTGGGCACACCAATCAACACAGAGCAGGTGTTCAACAACAAAAAAGAGTCCTCCACAGCTTCCCACAAGTGAAACTAGCACCTTGCGCAGAAGCCAACGTTTACTGTCCAAAAAGTTTGGAAACTTGGAGTATTCGATGTGATGACATGTTGCCTCATGTACGGGAAAGGTTTCGGTTTTCTCCTGTGGAATATGACGAGGATTAACTTTGTCGTAATTCATTGCCAGGCGCCTGCACTCGAACTTGGGAGGTGCCCTCGGTCAGGGCGAGTTGTGCCGCGCTCGATTCTTAAGAAGAGCCTCGAATTGATCCATCACCAGACGCTCATCCGATTCAGTAACCATGTTCGTGTACCATGGTTGTCGAAGCTCTTCGGCCAGAACCCGGCAAATTCCAAATCGATCAAGACAGCTTACTTCCAACGTCTCCGGGTCGATGAAAATGTTGCTTTCCCTTAGGTCGTTATGGTAGGATATATACTCGGGTTCGTGCGGTATCGGTCTGCACAGGGTTCGTTAGACGAATCCAGAGTTTTGCTGTAATAGTGGACGACTTGAATTCGATAGTCTGGATATCAAGCGTCCATATCCTATGTCAGACCATCATTATAGTCCCGAATGAACGAACAAGTAGCTCTCGATGCCAAATGGCTTAATTGTCGGAGTGGTCACCACTAGCCAGTTCATGCTAGAATATGAAGGTTGAAGAACTGGTGAAAACAACGAAAGAGACCTAGTGATGTCACGTCAACCGTATAAGGCACACTGCAGGAGGAGAGCTTGCGCAAAAGGGCCGATGTAGACGTTACCACATTGAGGAGCGGATGATCTAGTCCAAGACGAGCCATGACACCTTGCATAGACTCTTCGCCCCTGTCCAAAAATACTGCGCCCATGATAGCCTCAACGGTAGTCGCCATCGATTTGGCAGATACAGTATTTGTACCTGGGTTGAAGATGACGCATTCGATCAACCCGTGTTGACGGCCAACTCGATTATAGTTATCGTTCGTCATACTTTGGCAAATCGACGCCTCCCAAGTGCCTAGCAGAGGCTGTAAGGTCAAAATCAGAGTAGAAGATCGGTACTCACCAGGGGCTAAGGAAGTGAATGCGCACCAGCGTCAAAAAGAGTGCGGCCGCCTCTCACTCCCTAGGATCGGATCGTCTTCCAAGGCGATTGGCTTGGCTTGCGCGATTTGGCGGCCCGGTGCCTGCCGGGTGAACCATAGTCATCCACGACATCAAGGAGCTTCTTGAGCGTGTATTCTATACCTTGACGGCCGACATCGTACAGAATGACGGTTCGAAATTTTTGCGGTGTTGAGAGCGGAGTGCTGTCACGATCCGACGTTCTGGTGTTGATATCAGTAACGCGTGGTTGCTGGTAGAAAAAGGGTTGTCTTGGCATGGCCAGGCCACAACCGGAAGGACCTTAGTGAGCTGTGCGGTTCAAACGCTACCAGGGGTGTCAACAACCGTCATGATGAAAGTCTGTTAATCGGTGACGCTGTTCAGTGCTTGAGAGAAACTGGCCCGAACCCTGCGTGAAACTTTGAATGGGTGGCTCTCGATGATCATTTTTCCGAGATGGACCTTAGAATCCTGCTGGCCAATGTGGACGTCAAGACAACAGTCGTCCACTGCCGCCTTTCTTGCTGCGTAGACATGACTTTGAAGTGGTTGATGCCTGCTTGTGAGGAATATAGAGTTCTCCTCCGTAGGCAGAAGTCTCCTCAGGTAACGCCTGCGAAGCTTTGAAATGTCTTGCGCGCTTTAAATATCTCATAGACATATCAGCGCCAAGTGTCACTTGGATATGCTGGTTTGCCACGGCGCGGAACAGGCGGAAACTCATCCCCTAGGCTGGTAGTAATTAAACGATGGCTGCGCTTGCAATCATCAAAGGATGCCCGGGTTCCATCACTATCCCCTTCGATGGCAACCTGTGTCGACACATCCGTACAGTCATTCCAGAAACCGCCCTACCGTTTGATGGCACATTGCAACTTTCTCAACCCAATGCCAAGAACACTATGTAGTGCGAAGGCCCGGCCGCTAACACAACGACCGGCTGTTGGTGAGGACTTTGCCCTCAAAGACCTTTTCAGTGTCTCGTTGATCATTGAAGTTGGGAATCAGCGAATTGCTCAGGTCCGGATATACCGTAGCAATGGACTATGGAGAGGTCCAAATTCAGTGCTGGATGAACCGGCGTGGATACGTTACTCAGAGCTTTCCAGCCTTGGCATTGTTTGTCTTCGTCTTGGGTTTCTTTTTCTTTCTCTCGTGTTCATTCTGCCTCATTTCGATTAGGTCTCTGGTAGGAGTCGCCTTGTTAATCACCATCTTTGCCGCCTTCTTAGCTCCTGCCTTTGTCTTGGTCACCTTGTTAACGGTCGCTTTCGTCCCTTTTCCTGCAACTTTCCTAGCTGCCGGCTCTGGCTTCTTGCTCTTTTTGGCTTGACTCTTCTTCTCCTTCTTCTTTGCCGAGGTGATCGACACCATGAATTCCCCAGTTACTGCCAAAGGTATTGGTTTTTTCTTCGCCTCCTTTTGACGTGGCATTGCTGGCGTCTGTGTTATTTGCTTTCTGACTGCCACCATTTCTCGATCTTCAATGCGAGATAGCTCACTGAGAATACTAAGCAACTTCTTTCCATCGCTCGATTGCAGCGCTATCTTGTCAGAGCAAGTGTCGCAATATCTCATGAATTCTTGAGAATTTAACCCCGACGGTCGATACAGACGCAACGTGACCTGTCTCCAGGCTACCTTTTTGACCGGAACCTTACCAAACTTTTCCATCCATGACAACCCCCTATCGGTAGGCCACAATTCGTACCGGAAGTCCTCTGCTCCTGGAACTCCCGGATGGACCAATTCAATCCGCCCCACGGGAGAACCCCCAAATTGCCCTTTCAAAATGGGTTCTTCGATGATTTGGAAATTGGTCCATCCGGAGGGATGAAAACGATCTGGAGGGGGTGGTGAGAGCACCGTAATTGCTTGACCTTGTGCCGCGTAGTGAGCAAAGATCGCCGAAGCCCCTTTCACGTACCGACTCCATGCGTCGTTCGATTTTTTGGTTCTTAAACAGGAAGGATGCTCAGGCTGCATCAGACATCCCATGGCCATCGTCAATGTTTGCATTCCGCGTTGATCAGCCCACTGTTCTGCCAGTCCCCGCTCTACTCCAGTCCATAGGACCTGCCTGGTTTGGCTGAAATTGGGATCGTGAAATTGCTGGTGAATTTGATCTGCCTCCTCAGGCGTCAAATACTGACGGCAGATAGTCTCATTAGAAGATGCATGAGGCATGACACCCCTATCATGGGAGGACGCAGGCATTTGGCGAAAGGTACCTCAAGTCGATCACGTCGCCTTCTCGAAGACCGAATTGCACCATGTCGACTCGAATGTGCATAAAAGCTGGATATGGGAGAAAGGCACACTGCGCCATTAAACAATATTTTTCCCTCACCTGACTCTTCCAGGCCCCTGGGAACGAAATATACGAGATAACCCCTCCTTGAGGTTTCTGCGGGCGGGGTAGGGAGATATCATCCATAATTTAAACCGCGCCTAATATACAGTCAGGAGTACTCCTGTGTTCCAGCGTGTCCTACGAACAGGTCGTATGGCTCTGTTGAGCAGCGATCTACCACGCAACGCGTGATTTGCGCAAATGCGGACCCAAATGTCTGTTGACTTGCCTGACGAGACGCCTTTGTGGCTGCGGGGAATGATTCTTGGAGTACGCACACCCTGCGTGCACGACTGGACCATGGTGCCGCCGAACACGGCGATCGATCCGCAGCGCTATTGATACGCCCTCAACTCCGTGGCTGCATGGATTGACGAGGTCTCTACGATACCTCAAGTCGCTCCAGAAAGCATTCGCTAGCAGCCACTGGCACCGAACGATAATAGAGGAGGGATGAGGAGCGAAAACTTTGAGTAGGAGCGCACGGGCCACAAATCCGTCGAGGTAATTGTGGCCCGTGCACGACATAACCAAAGGACAACTAATTGTCTGCTCGAAATAGTCTTTACACGTAGGGGTTCCCATTAGCCCCGAGTCTCACTCTGAATCTGGTAAGTAGATTTGAAGGATAAGCATCTTCCAAGGTAGTCTTCTACATCCAAAAGATACAATATGGATGCAGGTGCATGTCAGCCACCATATGTGAAGCAAGAACCCAGCAACGTATCTCAGCGGTTGAGCTTGCGACATGAACAGCCACCTGGTCATCAGCCATCGAATATTATACGTCGCTCTACATGGCTGTCCGCTGTGAAGGCCCGCCTGCTTAACAAGAAACACCACCCTGCTGTCAATTCGGCCCGTGAGCATGAGTTTGGAAATGGCGTTGATGTCGAGTCCCTCCACCCAATGGGCTGTGCCCAGGATGGTCCATTTGTGGAGTATCCCAAGATGTTTCTGCAGCCCAGACCAGGCCAATCTCGCAAACGACTAGTCAATGAGGTCAAAGGTATATATGCCGGCCTCGTCATGGTCGAGAAGAAATGCGTCGAAATATGCCAGCAACAGTCTCAAACGACAACCGAGCTTTCCAACGAACAGTGGCAGGCACTCATTGCACTACACCGGACACTCTTACATGAGCACCACGATTTTTTCTTGGCTAGTCAATATCCCACGGCGTCTCCTGTACTCCGGCGTTTACATAGTGGGCAGATCACAAAGTTTGACACATGCACATTTGTGACGGATCCCAAAGTTCAAAACTTGTGCGACCGTAACTCCCCAATGGCCAGCGCGCCAATACTTTAGTGGACAGGGGCTGAGGTCGGGTCTGGTATTCTGAAGTGCTGCCGGCGAGATAATGGTGCACACAACTCATATTCTTCTAGTATATAGAATTGATTTTGCTGGAACCTGCATTGCAGTTCAACTTCTATACGTGAATTATTTCAGCTGAGAGTCGGAATTTTACGTTGCAACAAATCAGTAACGACAATACTTGAGGTTATATTGTGCCGATAGCCTACACAATTATGCATTGATGAAAGTGTATGAAGTGTATGAAGAGTATGAAAATATATTACATTCAGTGTTGCAATGTCCTCCCAAGAAGTGAAACACCAAGCCTTGTTAAAAGAATGTCCCCAATACCGACGTCTTTCTCGTCATTTCTCCCGCTAATATCCGCGATAGCTTCTGGCCCCACGCTTGAACAACGTAACGGGACATGTTGGCTCACTCAAAGTAACCGTCGGACCCCCAGGCTGACAGTTCGGGTAGTTGGCGACCGCCGCTTGAACAGACTGAATGGATTGAATCCCAGTAAGCGGGTTCAAATTCAATCCAAGTGCGCCAGTCCTTCCAATGATTTGACAATTACCAACACATGCATTTGTCGCAGCCTGGAGAACCTGCGTTAGGGAACAAACGACTCCAAGAATTCCGCTGTTGCAGGTCACTTGACTCAGTCCGACACTTTGAAGTGTCTGTCCGGCACAAAGCTGTACTTGAACCCCACAAGAGGGAGTGCTGGGGGCAGTCGTAGTGGTCGTCGAAGTTCTAGCAGTAGTAGTGCTCGTACGCAAGGTGGTGGGAAGAGTCGTAGTTGGCAAAAGTATGATACTCGTTGGGAGGATACTCGTTGGGAGGATACTCGTTGGGAGAATGCTCGTTGGGAGGATGCTCGTGGGCAAGATACTTGTTGGAAGGATGCTAGTAGGCAGTATGCTGGTAGGTAGAATGCTGGTAGGTAGAATGCTGGTAGGTAGAATGCTGGTAGGCAGAATGCTGGTAGGCAGAATGCTAGTAGGTAGAATGCTGGTGGGAAAGATGCTCGTCGGTAGGATGCTCGTCGGCAGGATGCTCGTCGGCAGGATGCTCGTCGGTAGGATGCTCGTTGGGAGAAGGCTAGTGGGAAAAATGCTGGTCGGCAGTAGACCAGTAGAAGACGTTGTACTAGAGGTCACTGGAGCAGACGGACAAGTGGGATCATTAATGACCACGCTTGTAGTCCCCAGAGCTGTGCAGATTGAGTTCAGTTGACCATTCAGTAGAGCAACTTGCAACTGTTGTGGAGTGACACTCAGGCCTAAGATTTGGTTGTTTGCAATGATGACAGATGCAACGTTAGCGTTCGAGCCCAAGAGCTCAGGCACCAGCGCTAACAAGTCATTGACGGTACAAATAAGTCCACCGGGTAGAGGACAACCAATAGTAGCGACGGTATTGGCGGTGATGAGTTGAGAACCTAGACAGATATTGGCGTTGAGATTGCAGATCGGTGCCCCTGTGGAGGTACTTGCTTGGAGAGAAGTTGTGGTTCTTGAGGTTGTGGACAAGTAAGAAGAGATGGCCGATGTGGTTGATGATAAGCTTGAGGACGATGTCGAGGCGCCGATGGGACTCATCGATGAGGAAGCCGAGATCGAGCTTGCGGATGAGGCGGGTACTGGCGTAGACGGGCAAGTTGGATCGTTGATGACCACGCTTGTAGTCTGTAGCGCTGTGCATAGAGAGTTCAGTTGACCATCAAGAAGAGCAACTTGCAACTGTTGTGGAGTGACACTCAAGCCCAGAATTTGGTTGTTTGCAATGATGACAGACGCGACGTTAGCATTAGAGCCCAGAAGCTCAGGTACCAGCGCTAACAAGTCATTGGCGGTGCAGAGAAGTCCGCCCAGTAGGGGACAGCCACTAGTAGCGACGGTATTCGCAGTGATCAGTTGGGAACCCAGACAGATATTGGCGTTGAGATTGCAGATCGGTGCCCCTGTAGATGTAGTTACTGGGCCAGAAGTTGTGGTTCTTGAGGTTGTGGACAACAAAGAACTGCTGGGCGTCATCACTGCCGATGTGGTCGATGCCAAGCTTGAGGACGATGTCGAGGCGCCAATGGGACCGACGGGTGACGAAGCCGAAACCGAGCTTATGGATGAAGACGTGGAGGTTGCCGTAGAGCCAAGCGATGAAGTCGACACTGAATTTGTCGGTGAGGAGGTCGACGCAGACGCGCCGATGGGACCAGCGGATGAAGCCGATGATGCGCTCGTAGACAAGCTCGATGTTGACGTGGAGCTCCTTATTGGACCGACCGATGACGACGTTGACGCTGAGGTCGTCGATGATAAGGAAAGCGAGGTTGAAGAAGTACTTCCACTTACAGGTCCCCCAGCACTGCTTGATGCGGAAGAAGACACAGCAATGCTTGATACCGAGGTTGAGGTAATGCTCTGGGAAGTTGAAGATGTCGAGGTGACAGTCGAAATCGAAGTAGCAGATGAAAGTGTGGTGCTGATGCTGCCGGATATCGCTGTGCTGCTACTAGTAGAGCTGGCTGACGCTGACGCTAAAAACCTCGGTTAGAATGTAGTGTAGTTGTCAGGAGACAGACTTACGGTTGTTGATAAGCGATATAGGATTGTCACACAGCTGAGGGACGGTAAAAGCACTGATGTGGCCATCATGATCCAGACAAAATCCTGCGGTACCTTGCAACTGCGCGTAGATGCCCGCGAAGAACCAGACGTGGAAGCCATTCGGGAAAGCTGGCGTGCGCTCAACAGGAGTGTACTCCTCCGTGTCCGGAGTACCTAGATACAGGCCTTCAGAGACAAAGCTGCGCGCATTACCATTGAATATTAACGCAGCAGAGGCCCTGTCTTCGACCGCGATTCCTCTGTTGTTCGAAAATCCCAGATACTGCAAGGTAGTTTGTCTTGCACGCAAAGCCGAGTCTGTTGCAGTCGCAGTGATCGTCAAGATAAAGCCAGTCCCAGTGGTGCTCGCAGAACCGGAAGCGCTGGTGGTAGCGCTGGTAGACATAGGCATGCCTGAAGATGAAGAACCTGGTGATGAAGAACCTGAAGATGAAGAGCTCGATGACGAAGCACTCACGCGGGTACTGCTAGTTGAGGTCGAAGCGCTGATGGGACCGACGGAGATTGTCGTCGATGACGACATGCTGTTACTCAAGCTACCTGACGATGTCGAAGCGCTGCTGGAACCGACCGAGACTGTTGTGGAAGGCGATATGCCGGTCCTCGTAGTGCTGGAGATTGAAGAAGTGGTTGTGGTACTCACTCCGATAGGGCCAACACTTGCCGTGGGCTTTGAAGTTGTGCTTGCACTGATTGGTGCAACAGAAGAGGAGCTCGAAGGGTACCAATCATCCCAAGCTTGGGGATTGGCGTAGTAAGGGTCTTGCTCGGGCAAAGGCCACGAGCTGCCTGCATTGTTTTTAGAAGAGCCCGTGGGAATGGAGACCTGCCGTGTGCTAGAAGCAGGTCGCGTGAAGTGTGGGATATTGAAGACGATGACCTTTGTGATGTAGACCTTGAAGTTGAAAGTGGTGGGGCCGGAATAAGACCTGGTTACGTAGGCATCCCATTGCTGCCCAGGTATGACTTGGACCTGCTGTGGTGCCACAGAGATGCTTGGTCGATTATTGACAGTTACCGTGACTGTTGCTGGAGGAGCGGTAACAGTCACTGGCGAAGCACTTTGAGGAAAGGTCCAAGTGTAAACACCAGCATGAGGTACCTTGCCCTGACTTGAGCAGAGTGCTTCGGTTGTAACTGTTGAGGACCGTGTAGGCAGCACAACCAGAGTCTCTTCCCACTGAACGCAGCCGTTATATGCCTTCCCTGCGTTGATCCCAGATCGACATTCAATAACATCCAGGAGTTGAGAGTGTTCGCATTCTTCGCATAGCCCACTGCCTTCCCAACCTGGGATAGGTAGTGGCCCGATCTTGTTGAATGGTGCCATCGCTCGTCGAGTTACAGTTTCGTAGACGGTAGTGCTCGTGGCTGTTGGTCTCTTCTTGTTTGCCTTAAACCAGGCCCGATGATGAGTAGTGGGAGTGGGGAAGGCCGTAATCTGGGTCACGGTCTCGAGGTATTCAGAGACTCTGAAGGGTTGTGCCACGTCAGTTACAGTGGTGACCTGCGTTGTAGTTCCATTCCATGCGTAAGGAACGACAGTGGAGACGTATGGGTACGTTGTGAATGGATATGTTGTCGTACACTTGCCCTTGATGCAAGCAGTAGTAGGGACACAAGTAGAGACAGGTTGGAACTGGGCAGTAACAGTAATCGGCGCAAGACTGAGGCCGGAAGCACTAGGGCAAGGATCAATCGTTGTGAGAGGGTTCACTAGAACTCCGCCAGTTGCGAGGACAGCCAACGCAGCCTTCATGGCTAGTGAGTCTGACCACTTCATGATCGCGAAGAGGGTGCACTCGGGTAGTGCCAAACAAAATCAACCCCCGGGAACAGGTGGCCCGTGGTCTGTAAAGAGGATGGAGGAATACAGATGAAGGAAGAATGAAAATCGAGGAACTTGACCTGTATTATATACCTTGCAGCGCCTCCGACAATCAACGCTCGTATGCAATGCAAGATTGCAGAGGCTATTGTGATTACCTTCAGTCAATCTTTGGGCCGTGGCATGCATGCTTGGGATTTAGTATAGTCTTTGCCCGCGTGCTGAGGAGATCAAAAGAGTGCTCTGGGTCCTCTGGGACGCCTCGTCTAGCAATGCTATTGGGAGCCTGACATGAACACAATAAATGCGCACAGTCCAGGACAGCCCCCATGTCGGAGATTTCTGATAGCCATTGGAAACACAGCAGGCTTACCAGATAGATCACTCGCTGGACAGGGGAGTCCACCAGGGGACCCTTGGACCAGTGCAGTGTTGTTGTGTGCATTTGACAGGCAGGACCATCCATAGACCCAGGTCACGGCACTAGGTTCTCCCCTACTCTAAGTAGAGTGTTGGTCCTTAGGACCATCCCCAGCCCATATCATTTCATATCCAATAGATGCACCCCACAGTTTTACTGAGTTTCTCGCTGCCATTGGCCATAAGTCCTGCAACCAGGTTATGAACTAGTTCAGACACCCTAATAGTGAGAGGAAAGAGTGGTACTTACAAAGTGGACCTCATGCCCTCAATCATCGCTTCGGCTGTAATGTTGAAGTGCGTCGAAACTCTGCGCTGTACGGACTTTTGAAGATAAGATAGCCGCAACCGAGAACTCTGTTGGTCTGCGTAGAAGACCTTGCGGCACCAATGACAGTTTCCAAGTCTCCATCCGGATTGTAATCGGCGCTAGCAAAGCCCTGAAAAGATTGATCCCTTCTCATGTCGCCAGTCGCCCAGCAGTCTGAGCGTAATGCTACTTGGTGGTTGACACAGATGTCGTAACTACAGTGGCGTCCAGAAACTAAGTGCCTTCAGTTAGATATGCTGAAAGGACAGCGTACCTACGACAAACCCCCTGTGATACCCCTGTCGTATCCTTGCTTGTGGGCTGTTTACGTATCTGTACTGGCCTGTCCAAGCGGCGAGTGGACAAATAATCCCTGTACTCGCCTGTAACGCCCACCGCAGTTACAATATCTGTGTCAACTACCACGCAAAAGGCGGAGGATCAATCGGAGGCTGGAGTTGTTGGGCAAGCTCGCGCCAAGTCGGCGAGCAAGCAGGTGGAATCTCACCAGCAACATACCTTCGCGGCATAGTGGCCCCACTTGGTTCTATCTCTGCGCGTTCCCCAGGCTTATACTCAATGGTGAGTTGTGGGTGAGGATTTGAGATTTTGACAGATCGATACGTCCTGTGCGCTGAGACAGCACGAGTCGACTGTCAGTCTTGGCTCTACCTCGGCTAATGACGGCATGGCCAAGATGTACAACCTCAAAATGTACGGCCAAGCTGTCATGATAAGTGAAGTCAGGCCAAGCATAAAATTAGGCTGTATTCAACGGCACCTCGACCGCGGTCAACGGACCAAAATAAGGAAAGGTTGAAACTTGGACATGATCCACCTCCACCTTTGATCGACCTCCACCTTTTAGTGCGGCTCAAAGACGGGAAAGACCAATGATACCCCTGTTTGAGTAGCATTCAAACACCAGTGAAGTCTCTGCTTACCGGCTTCTGCGCACGGTGCAGTTGTGGAGATCGACCGTTGACACCGGATAAGGAGCGACTACTCTTTTCGCTACCACCGTTGCCCTTCTTCATCATACCCTGTCGAATCTACAGCTTTCACGCTTCGTCGACGTTTATTCTTCCAGCCAAAACTGCAGGCGACCGATATGGTGTGCACGGGTCCGGGACATACTTGATGCTAGCCATAAGTCGAGTTCTGTGGGCACTATCAGGGACTGACCTTGCAAACAATCAGTAGTGCAACTTGAGGCCAAGCGACAGCCAGGGGGTTTCACCCGTCAAAGAAATTTTACTCACCACTATTCTAATCTGTGAGTGTGGGGGGCATTAGCAGCAATCTGCTAGGTACCCCAGTCAAGCAGGTTTTGGTGCTTAATCCGGCCTTTTCACCCCAATTGTAGTTGTCAGGCTTTTCCTTTTCGGCTCCGTGAGAAGATCGCCGGGCTGCGATCTGGGAATCTTCACAATAGTCAATCTAGTGGCGTCAAACAAGGGGCTGATGAGTTGCAACGAACAAAGAAGATCCAAGAACGAAGGCCGATAACGCTGGCCGTCAAATGACCCCTGTCGAATTTACTGCTAATTAGAATAGACCAACAGTGGCGACACAGGACTGTGCGAGACTGACCACGATGTCATGAGTAGCAATTTGGCCACCAGATTGTAGACCGTTGCGCAGATCAAGATGTGATCAAAAGCTGGTTTCCGAGAAGGCTTGTTGCTCTCGATTGATGGATATGTGGCAGGTCGTGAGATCAGCCTAATCAGCCTAGTCCTGGCTGGCACTTGTGCCTCCAAGTCCAGCCTGGAGGCCCCCGGTCGCGCTAGAGGCCATTGTTCGGAACCAGGTCAGACGCTCGGATAACTCATTGCACTTGATGACAATGACAGAATGTGGGTATGCCTTTTCTACCTTTGAGCCACTTTCCAAAATACATGGCACACCAAAATTGCTGTCTGACCACTGTATGTGGAAGAGCTCTCACTTTCCACTCATGATAGCGCAGGTGATTCGGTGGCAATGTGCTGGATAACCTACATCATTCGATAGACCATCTCTTGAATAGTATATCTATACATTCACAATGATATGTTATCACATAAAGTTGTTTGACTTAGGCTTAAGTACTTACTAGGTAGTGTTATCATACATTTTGGTGGGCCGCAACTTGTATTTGCAAGTGGCTCGCCGGGTGTGGCGGCCGACGACACGGTCATTGTAGATTCCACTCCGGCCGGTGGCAACATGCACCACACACGCTAGGGAAACCCTCGTCCTGAAGACGACACAAGACCTGGATTCGGAAGCATTTCCGTTGCCTCAACTTTGCAAAAGACCCCAATTGGCAATTGCTTGCCGCCTCCAAGCAGAAGGTGACCAGGCGCAGAACCAGCATTGCCTCATCAACGAAACAGGTGATGACAGTACGAAGGGACAGATAACGCCTTCTAAATCATGTGGTTAGTCGTCCAAGTGGGATTTCATGGCCAAGCACGAACAATAATAGCTTTATCACGTGACCCATTAGCGCCCTGTTATGTACGTGCAGTCCTATCGGCACATGACTCACTACTCACGTGTACTCCTCTGATTACCATGCGCCAAGCCATCGCAAGAGGTGCCATCCCGGTTTCGCCTAGACCTCGTTTTTACATGCCTTGACGCCTTGATAATCAGACTCCCATGACTCGCGTAATTTGCACCGGTTTGGTTGTCACCCCTGTCTCCTCATTGACAATAATGCACCATGCATGCGTATGTACGGTTACTACGTATAGTACTCGTACATTAGTACTTCCTCCTCATGTCATGACTGCTTTTCCTATCTATACACCTTGCAACCCGGAAAATGCCCTTGATACCCCGCGTTCTTTCTCCAGTATGCGTTCATGAAGTCGGGATCCTTACATCATGACCCCATGAGATGGGGAGGCGGTTTCTCATGTCATCATCACCCAGCGTCACCTCATGACATCAGGTCAAGGAGGGGGGAGAATACAGTCGAAACGGAGGACATAAGGCTGTACATAAGTAGAAGAGTTCGAACCGTCAAGCTTTCTTTCTCCCTCATTAATCCTACTAAGTAGTACTTCGACGACAAAGAAGTTTTGACAGCATCGCGGATCATCTTGACCCCAAGAAAACAAACTCGAAGCTAGTGAGTGCGGACTGTCCCCGTGTGGCTGAAGACACGGCTTTTCTGAGTATTGAGCACTAGTAGGCTAATCCTGTTCTGTCTGCCACAGTACAACTCTTTAGAAATGTCTTCATCAGGTGGCAGCGCACCAGGCGAGTTCGCCCACGGCAAAGTCGATCCCAGCGAGGCCGGGAAGAAGGGTGGCTTGTCCAGTGGAGGCGGAACCAACACTGATTCCAGTTCCACCGGTGGCACGAGCGGTGACAGCTCAGGTAGCGGAAACAGCGGAGGAAGCCAAAAGGGGGAATTTGCTCATGGTAAGGTCGATCCATCTGAGGCTGGGAAGAAGGGTGGGAGCTCTTGAGATATTCTTTACACCCTGTAATGTACATACTAGTAGTAGTACATTCAGAATTGGTTGATGTCGATTCAACAACTAAGATTGGATGGGAAATGAAGCTTTCAGCACTTACTTGTTGCTCAGGCCGAATGTCACCAAGACCAGTCACGGGCGGGGCATGCTCAGGATTGTCATCTCGAGTTGAAGCGGCGAGGCTCAGAGCCACGCTCAGGTCCAAAGATGGAAGTGGAACGTGCTCACGTCGAGATTCCGACGTCGAATTCAGTGTTTCCCGCACGTCGTACTTGGCGAAGGCAATCGGCTTCTGGGAAGAGACAGTCATGACGAAAGCTCAGAGCCAGCAACTATGTCTTAGGTACATTACCGACAACGGTTATGCATCTAATGAACCGACAGTGAGGTTTGGGTGACGTATAGTATGTACGAGCCATTCCAGGAAATTTTGCTCGCGCTGGTAGAAGCCTTCGCTCAATCTACTTCTCGACTTTCTCGATCTCACCAAGTCGATTTTGAGTTCCATGTACTCTCAACGGTCTAAGTGCGTCCATGAGCGCTGTCTCGTGCCTTTGTGTCCAGCCTTCAGGCACACATGGCTCAAGTGGGATCCTGTCGTCGTCGAAACCATCGCCACGAGAGCTGAGAACCGTCAGCATCTGGCGGAATATTCTGAACGCTTTGTACGATGATAATGAGCCGCTAGTGAGACAACACAAATACGACATAGCCTTCCGTACCGGGTGGATAAGCAGGGGTGCCGAGCCGCCAAAATGTTCCGTTTTCAGGCAAAGCTCGAGAATGAAAACACTCAGCACTTGACCAAGGTAGTGTAGGAGGTTCCACCATGGCAATAGCTGGTATGCTTCATGAGCAGTCGGGTCTTCTGGTAGGATGTCGACCAATGCACAGGCAGCTTGAACACAATCCCTGGCGCTGTTGCTGTTGAACTGTTTCGAAGCTTCCGACTCGGCTGGAATATAGATATGGCATAGGCAAGGCCTGTGTATGATCATCTTGATACTGCAGTAATATAAGAGCAAGTCGATCTTTGCACGAGGGTCGTCGTTGGTAGCCATTCCGCTATCTAGACTAAGGTCTTCTGGGAGATTTTGCTCCCAATCCACCAGTTGGGTATCGAGGCTGTGGATTTTCTTTTGCGTGCTTGCCCAAGAATCTTGATTCGTTGGCATGTAAAGTTGTGTCATCGCCTCACTACTGATCGTAGAAAGACGTGTCCGGTGGTCCAGATGCGGTCGAGGCTCACCATAACCGATGAATTGGAAGTTCTGCCAGGCTATTCGCCCACCACGCATTGTTTGGACCAC